GTACTAGAAGTTGAAAACCAGTATATTCTTGAGTGTCAGTACCTAGGCCTCCTCGGAGGACTCGAACACAAAAGGTGAAGTATTCTGACTCGACTCGACAGACTATACGCGATACACAAACAGGCACTCTGTCATATCTCTGACTCGAGATCTGATCGTGTATAGCGATGCTTTATTGAAAAATGCTGGGGACATCGCACAGCTCTAGCCGCTGAAGCAGTGTCGAAGTTTGAGCGATGTGGTGAGACGCCAACTTCTCCCTGAAGATTTGGAGACCAGCCATAACAAATTCCAGCTAAATGATAAATCTATAGGCCAATGGATGTGTGAATTATTATACCAAATATGGGACTCGGATCGATTGCAGGCCGCACCAGTCGAGACGTTATAAGCGCTGGGATTTTTGTCTTCCATCGCACGATTTTTTGAATGAATTTCTGTGCCTCGGCCTCCGAGGATTTATCCGCAGGGGCCCAACATTAGAGTTTAATTTCAGATGCTCCAAGGCGTTTAATTTTGAAACGATTTCGTTAAAGGGGTTAAACATTGATTTTTGTCTGTTTGTTGCGCTCAGTGAAAACGTGCTTTGGAATTATGAAGTGAATTTGAATGAGTTTTTCTGCAATACCTGTTCTTCAAGTTTGATCGTAGTAGAAAAAGTGAAGAAAATAGTGTATGCACAGCATTCATGAACCTTGGTGCATTTACTGTGACTCTTTGGAGTCTGATTAAATTGGTGACTGCTCTATGTTCCTATATTACGACTGCTCAACCTATGTTCCAACAAACTTATGTTCCGACACACCTATGTTCCGACACCCCTATGGTCCGACACCGTGTTCCAACACCCCCTATGTTCCGACAACCGGCACATAAGATTGTATTCGCCTGTTTAGACTGGTGCGTTGGGGCTGGAGGCCAGCCTATGTTTACGTTTGTAGGGGTGTCGGAACATAGGTGTGTCGGAACTAGGTGCAGTGTAACCATTAACAGGGATGTGAATCCTCCTGCAATTGACTGATTTCAGGCTTTTGTTTACAAATTGTAAATAACAAATGAGCACCAAGCATGCTGCATACGTGTCTATTTCCTTATTCCTCAAATTTCAGGGAAAATTGTCGGAGTCCACGTACATCCCATGGCAAACCATGCACAGAACTCCTTAATATGATCTCATATTTTTTATTCACCGAAACAAGTTCATACTACCCGCTGCAGCTGTGTTGTGTATTTGGGGTTTTAGGGCCAATCCCACCTCTTTCATGAGATTTATTAACAGTTTTGTTGGGAGTACTAGATTTTCTCAAGTTGTTCCCAAATCAGGTAACAAATTTTAGGTGCCACATTATAGGAGAAAATTACAGTCGTAGCTGACAAGATGCTAGCTTGTGTAGCTTGCAGGATAAATTTGTATAGTCTACTGATTCTCACAGCTCATGGTTTTTAAATCTTGTTGCCACCTTTGAATTTGTAAAGTGCCAAACTTTACAAACAAACCCCAATTCCCGAAGGAAACTGTGTGAATTGTCCCTTGATATGTCTTCAAAAAAGACTTGTCCTTCCTCGGGGCTAAAAATACCTCTAAATTCTCAAACTGAAGACGTCTGCGCTCTGACTCGATGCTTGGACAAGGAATGGCCTTCTCTGAAGCTGAGTCTCCATCGTCAAAGTGCCAGACTTCATAAAGTCTGCTTGGATGCACAATATCTTCGGAGAAAATCCTCCGAGGTTGACGGGTCTATATTCTGAAGGCCGTCTTTCGTGTACCAGCATAGATTCGTTGACTGCACAGTAGATCGTTGAAAAGCTTAAGTTTTTTGAGGAAGGGGTTCGTTGTGTTACTAGTGTTCGAACGAAATACCCAAATATTTTTATAGGAATGGACTTGGTTATCTGAGTTGAATATTTGCTTTGAGAGTATTTACCTCAAATTACCTAGAAGAAGTCAGTGACGACCGTTTAAAATGGGACTGCTTAGCAAAAAACAACTAGTACAGCTGTTTGAGCGAATTTTTGTGTCGGTGTCTTAGTCACGATCACAAGTAATACGCAGTACGCATGGTGCAGGTCCTTTTAGCTACACAACTGTGTTTCTCAGCAAATCTTTAAAATGGTCAGCATTTTTTTCTATGGCTAGCTACTTCATGCAGTTCCTGTTCGTAAGTTCAGCTGGCCAGACTCTTTGAGTCTTTTTTGTGTATGGTCAGGATCATCATATCGAAATAATATGTAACAATAGGTGGCGCTGTTTAGAATTACTGTATGGTCGCGCTGTACCTGCGTGGCTGTTCATTTTTTTTAATCTGGCAACTACTGTGACATGATTCGCTGAATTTATTTACAATTTTGATTGAATGTTATTAATGAACATGCGGTCGGCCAGCTACGGAGAGGGTGGTGTGCAGCCTGTGTCTAGACGATTGTTCGCCATGTCTGCTTCAAAACTCTTGATTGTAACATGTCACCTGGAGTCCCGGACAACAAAAAAGTTTTAGTGTCGTTGACCAGTCCAATGTCCTTCCACAACATTCAACAAAGAGGAGATGTAGTCCAATATTTGGCAAACCACACGATGAAGACGTCATCAGCCATAAAAGCACAACTACACAATAACAAAAGCGAGAATTCCGTCTTCAATGCCAGTCTTTGTAATTAACACCCATTCTTTGGTCGACCCATTTTTACGAAAACGGTTGTGCAGTGAAACCCTGGGCATGCAGTGCATAATCGCAGACAGGAGGCCCGGGGGGGGGGGGGGGATTGATGACATTACTGTTTTGATTAGTTCAACAGACACAATGTCACTATTGCGGTGACCATGTCACAGTCCATTTCCAAGATGCGATGGTATCTTTCCATCATCTGCCAGCGTTGGCAATTAAAACGAGATATCGTACTTTGACCTCGAAGATTGTTCGTCAAAATTCATGACGTAAGTTGACGAGGGAAAGGCATTTTTGAAAATGATGTAAACAGAGGATTAAATTCAGCTTTGTCTGAAGATTCATGTTGTTCTAGAAAATTTTCGAAGGGCATCAACTGGATAAAAACGCAGCTCCAAAACCTGCCATGATAGATTGGACAAATTCTCGGTGCCTATAGATCGGAACATCGTCGATTCTTTTGGACAGCTCGTTTGCTTTAAGCCACCCTCCGGCCACCCTCGCCACGTTTTTCAATTTCCACAAAGTACTTTTTGAACAGTTTCATTTGAAAAACAAATTTTCCTATCCCGAATGTGACCCTTTTTTTTGTCTGCAACGGTTCAGTCTTCATCTTGAAGTAAACATTTCAATTTCTTTTAAGACATGTAGTATGAAGACACCAAGTTGAAGTAAACGACATGCTCTCTGCGTCTGATGAGCGCACTGCCGCCACATTCTGTCTTCTCTCCGATCAATCCTGCTTCCACACTGTCTTATCTTCTTCTCAGAGACAGGTGTTTATTGAGATGTTTATTGGAAGAAATATACAGAATAATCGCCGCGATGAAAAGTGGATGGACTGTGGAAAGCATAGTCCTTGCCATGAGCCATTTAGGAAACCATCAACAGTCTGCAGATCGAAAAGACCTATCCTCAAGTACCGCAGTCATCATCAAAACAAGACATGAGGAAAACGGACGATGTTTGAAAGGAGAACAGCACAAAGTGAATACAAGTGCCAATACCGCCTGGATGTATATTTTCATTCGCACTCATAATTTCTTAGAAATAGTGGGGATCAAGAGGACTGAGAAATTCAGGCAATCCGTCAGGGACCAGTTATCTTTTTATAGTTCAGAGTGAGATTCATAACCCCAACTATCCTTGGAATATACATTAAAAAAAAGGAATAAGGAAAACAGATGCAGCCGCAGTTGTGGGTCCAGAATTGTACAAAGGATATGGCTGGGATATCATTCGGAGGGGGGAGCCTTACTATTGTTACTGCCTGAAGCACGCAAGGAATCAATATTTGTAATATTGAGATGATGATGTTATATACGTAACTTTTGGACAACGTTGGTCGATCAGAGGTGGGGAAGCCACCCAAAACGCCCCCGTTAGATCCGCCCTGGAGCTTTATCGATAACCGAGAGAAAGCTTAACTAGGATTGCCGCATAAAAAAAGTAACAAGTGGTTTTTTTTAAGGCTGTAGGCGTGTCTCACTCGGGTGGTCGAGAGTCACTGCTGGTCCCATGCAATTTTATTTTTAAATCCAATCCTTGGAAATGCACCTTCTTCAATTTTCGTTTTGCCATTTTTCAAGGGTATTTTGGTGCCTTTTTGTTTTTTACGCTAATGCCGATTTCCATAATCATGAGCAAAACTGTGATGTCGTGTTAGGCAGAAACCTCAATGTTGAGCTATCTCGGCACCAAAAGTTGCCAGAATTTTGAATATTTCGCTGTCGTCATTGTTCTTTTCTTAGGTGATTCTTGTTGCGTCAGTTATATGGCAGTAAGCCAATGAGAAAACTTTTATCATACAATATTATTTTTCCTTCAAGCAAATTGTTGGGCTCACAATTTGAACAGAAACTCCCTGAACTGAACAGTGTCTTCCTAAAATGACATCACGTACAGCAGCAACCACCTCAGCTCTCCGGAAAAGCATGGACAAGTTTTATTGTTTAAAGAAGTGCACTTTTCAATCAAATTAACCAGAAAGGGACGTCAAATGTTGTTCATACATTTAAGAAGAGTAGAAAATTACACAAAATATGTTCTTGAGAAAAATTCTTTTCATGGACCCTTTGGCTTGTCAAATGATAAAACAGTAGAAATTCTTGGACAAAAAAATGTCCTCAATGAAATTCTCTGTGCAAGCAGTTTGTTTTTGTCGCGACGTGTGTACAGAGTGTGATGTCACAGAGTCACTTTTTTGAGCAAATAAGTTCGAAGTAAGTTTTTTTCTAGTGGTTAGTCTAGTGGTTAGATGACTTGTACAGTTTCGTCGTTGGACAACGCTGAAGTGCGCCGCCTTGTGACCGTCGACAGTTCTCGACGTACGTCACGGCGCCACAGCAACCTTCCGTGTCACGTGACTAAACAACATGGCGACCAACGTCTGTCACGCAGAAACCTCGAGAAGTTATCGCCTTAAATTGCTATCAAAATCGACCGTCATGTGAACGTTGTTTGTCTCGAAATTGATTCAGTGAATGTCAAGGTTTCGAACTATAGCATTACCCGTTAAAATTGGGAGATTTCTTGCGTAATTTTCAGAGTAAACCTAGACAGGGTCTGCGGGATTCGACAAGTTTCCGGGCAGCTATAGCGGGAGAGGGAACCAATCAATTATCGACGGGGCGCGCCGGGGCGGTGCACCTGTCTTGCCTCGCAATGCTTCGCCTGCTCCGTTCAGCACACAGTACTTACGTTGGGTAGGACTAGGAGTTTTATACGAGCAAGGAAACCGAAATGGCGACAACCAACACCGGCTTGTCCTTGCTGGCTCGGGGAATCGGCGAGGAAAGGGTTCGTCGGGGACACAAGAAATTGGAGGTTTCTCTCGAACCCGAGGTAGGACATTTGTGCTTTTTTTTTTTCGCAGTGGCTATTGTTACGGCAGCCGTAACGCATTTCCCATTTTCTATCGTTACGGTAGACTGCAACCTGGCAACTTTTATAAAAAAACATGACAAGAAAATATAAAATTAGAAGGAAAAAAGTGAATTTGAACTTTATGAAATTCGGACTTTATTTCCCTTTTAAAAAAAATCCTCCAAAGCCTCAGGTTAGAAAAGGAAAAAAATTCGAGTGCAAAACCGAAATTCGAACCCGCAACCTCGCGGTGCAAAATCCTACCCTTTATCGGCTGAGCTGGCGCACTGCTCGATAAAACGTGGGGAAACAAATAATTATATACCTGCGTGCGTATCAAAAAAATATCGTAGAGGGCGCTAAACAACGAGTGCCGTAACGATAGCCACTTCGTTTTTTTTTATGTTTGTTTACTCAACACAAATTTTCATTTTAGGTAGTTCCAACCAAAATATTGTGTTTGGCTTAGTGTCATTAAAAGTAGCATACACTTTTGTGTATACATCAAAATGTTCATTCCCAAATAACATGCGAATTTAAAAATGGAAAAAAAAATACAATCAGAAAATTACATAGGCCTATTGGCGTAAAAAAAAAAAAAATAACAGTAAAACATGATAACAGTTATTACTAGTATTAGGCCAACACTCAGAAATTACCAAATCAACACTAACGCCAACTTATTACATTTCCGCACCATAATGATTCAGTAACATCAAAATGAGATTTGCCAATTCCCTTCCCCCCACCCCCGAACCATTTACAATGACTAAACTAACTCTTGATTTAATCAAAGATGAAATGGGTCATGATCTTGCAGTTGCACTTTTCTCAATTGATAAAAAATATTGAAATCATTTTACTGTCGGGGTGGGGGGGGGGGGACATGTTGCCATCAAACTAACAATTGCCATCTAGTACCACAAATAATGATGCGTCATTATCTCACTAAATTTTGTTTCCCCACAGGATTACCATAATATTCAGGGTCGGAAGTATTACCTGCCTCCCATCCAACAGAGAGCATGGCCACAGGAGGAGCTGGATTCCCCCCGGGAGCTACACACCCACAAGACGTTTACGACAAGGAAGGGCGCCCTCTTGCTATACTCGGAAGACCTCGCGATGACTGCCAAGGAGAGAGCGGATAACAACAAGGCTCTGGAAGCCGAGGACACACTGAATCTGAATACGTTTCACGACCTGCGAAGTGCAATCTTGTCTTATGGAGCAAAGGTGAGATGTCATAATGTTTGAGTTCTGAAATTTAACAAAACTAATATGGTGCTTGAGCAGTTCACGTTGGATGACGTGGTTACACGATCTGGCTGTTTTTAAACTCGCACAGCTGACAGGTTAAAACGTCTAGCGTGCCTCAACTTGCCTCTGATGATCCCCCACCTATTTTGTACACACGCACAATGCCTAAGAAGTCTGTGGAGGCTGACAGTGTTTTAACTTGAACAAGGCCGCTGTGCAGGGCCTGTTTTGGTACAATTTACGTTCCGTGGTCACACCCCAGAGTGTTGAAAAATACAAGCTTGCGGTAAGAAATGTGGTACAAATACTGTTGAAATGACTCTTGCGAATCAGTATTTGTGGCGTTTGGTTGCATATCAGAAGTTGGGTGCTATGTCTAGCCTTTTTTGAAAATTGAAATTTTTTGCAAAAATAATCCCTGCCCGAACTGGTCAATAATTGTGGGTCCCTGAATTACGGTTCATACAACATACATTAGGTATTAAATGTTTTACTCTCTTATATTGTGGTCCAAATCATGCTTTTGAACATAATTTTTGATTTAGCAATCTTACCAGGCACACACTTTCATGTACAACTCACAGCTCTCGATGAAGTTGTTCAGTCAGAGTTGTCTTGTGATTTTGATGTCCAATGTGCGATTTTTATTTCCTGTGTGCTATTTAGAGTACACAATGAAATCACAATGAAGATTATGCAAATTTTTTCCTATTCTAGGATTCTTCGTCTGAGCCAATCTACTTGGGTTTTGTCCACAACAAGCACGCCCATAGTACTCCTCGGGCAGTCAGGCCGGGGTTCTCAGCCAAGAGATACCTGTCCAACTGGTCCAGGAGCTGGGACGATTCAATTCTCAATACCCTGAGAAACAATGGTAAGGCAGGACAAAATATTCAGATCCGAAATTTGACTTTATTTTAAACTGCCCCAGACTCTGCATGTACTGTATGGTTTTACAGATTCTCTGGTAAAAAACATACAGTGTAGTACAATGTAATACAAGTGCTGATGGGTTTAAATAAAATGGTTAGAGAGATGAACTGAGCAACAAATTGATGAAATGTTATCTAACGTAAACATCCACCAAGATGCTTAGGAGCAGTTCATGTTTATCAAAATTGTTAGCAAACTTTTCTTGTTCCAATTTTGCCATCTTATTACCTTGGCTGAAAATGCTAACAAAAATTTTTTACTCCCCCGATTTGGATGTCCATCACCAGTTACTCCCCAGTTACTGAGTCTACCCATTTATACTCCAAAGTGGAGTGAAGCTATTTGGGTAAATTGGCTTGCCCAAGGACATGACCAGCAGCTGGACTCGAATTCCTGATTCTCTGCATCCGAGTTGAAATTGTTATCACTATGCCGCACCATCTTTAAAAAATAACTAAATTATAACAAAGCAGTGGTATTTGATCAAAATTTTTGGACAAGTGGACTGTCAATCATAAACATCATAAGGCCAAAAAAAAATGTCTCCGGTTTCTGGTATGCGCGCGCGTCGCCATAGCCATGCGCATCGGCAAAATGAAAAAGTTTTTTTTTCAATGAAAGATGATGTCTCAAAACCGCCAAACTCACTGGTTTGACTAGAATCCTGCTGCTGCACAATTTTAACGTGTTTTTAGATTGGGTTATGGTCGAGAATAAGCTTTATGTGGCCTCTCTGGACTCGCATATATTTGCACTAAGTTTAGTCGGGCACCATTTGCAGTCATCAGCCGACATTTGAAGCAAAAAAAATCAGGTAAAAAAAACCTTTTTCAATTTGACTCTAGGCAGAGAAATAAATTTAAGGTTTAAATATCTTATAGGTCACATTTTGGACAAGAACCTCTTCCAAGAGAACGCCCTGGCACCGAGGATCTTAAGACGCATCAATGACGACCTATCCAGCTTGCCAGCACCGTACCGTGTCACTAGGAACATGCTGATGGCACCTGGCAGCCCGGTAGTCTACGAATTCTACAGGATACGGCCAAGCAGTGCCGACTCCGGTGAGTAAATTTTAATTGGACGCCAAAACTTTCACCTCTTTGTTGTGCATTATTCCGGTTAACTGTCAAATATGCAAGCAGAAAGTTGCAAAGTGCTGTCAATATTCCCCCAGAGAAGACTATTTCATAAGTTTGAACTTTATGCACTGTTCAAAGTTTCCCTGTTCAGAGCTGTTGTTTTAGGGGTTGCTGCTTCCACGTTAATGGCAGTTGAGGGGAATTGGAAGTTGGTTTTATATTCTTTATCTATTCAGGCTCATTGCTTTAATACAGGGCGTCCTGATAAAATGGTGCATGTAAACCCCTCCATTTTTGCTAATTTATGGATTTGCGGATGTTTACACCATCTTCAAGGTAATAGATTTAGCTTGAGAATACTGTTTGTTTCATTGAGATTGCTTTTGTAAATCCAAAGATATGTTTGAATAACGGCAAAGCCAAGAAACCCATTTTGTGCCACTTTCTGTGAAGCAGTTAAAATCAGTATAGTCCTAGTCAAAAACCAAATCACTTTACTGTTAGTGATTTTAACATTTTTAAGCAGAGTGTGCAGTATTTATTTATATTTAATTGAACTCTTTCATTGAAGTTTTAAAGAAGTGAACCTGTCTGTACTATTAAAGTTTTTCAACATACATGACATAAGAACAAAACCCTATATTGTCGTGTGAATGGAATCAAAAGAGCCATACTGGCATTGTCTGATCTTTGAAGCACTCACTTCCTAAAAGTGGCCTAGAATGTTTTTATTTGGCTTTGCGGTTATTCAAACATATCTCTGGATTTACAAAAGCAATCTTAATTAAACAAACGGTATTCTCAAGCTAAATCTGTAACCTTGAAGATCCTGTAAACATTTGCAGTAAATTCTGGTTGTAAATTGGCGAAAATGGCGGGGTTTACATGCACCATTATTTTTAGGACACCCTGTATATCGCCATCGTATATTACTGTGTCGGGTTATGGGCAGGAAGCTTATTACTCCAGTAATATTCCTTCCCCAGGTTCAACATTGTCAAGTGAGGGTCGATTCAAACGCAGGCTCAGTAAGCACATATACTATAATATGTGTCGTGTCGCCATGCTGTACGTGAAAATGTGAAGCAAAGCACTTGTTGCAGATTTGCATGTTCTTGTTTTTATCCATTTGTACAAAGTTTTGGTAAATTTAAACAAGTACTGCATTGCTTAAGTAAGTTAAGTGAGGCTTTATTTATTGTTGCTATTTTATTGTCTGAAATAGATTTGCATTCTTTTTCTTTCTTTGCGAAGTGGCCAGATTGAATAATAGTCGTTGACAAATTGAATTGTCATAAAATAGCTTTGTGTTGAATTCTGTGATTTACATGCATGGAGTTTTGTTGTACGATGCATGGCTTTCATTTGTTGCTTCGATGATAGCAGGTCATTAGTTGAAACTAGGAAAATTGGTTCAAGCAATCCAAAAAAATCTTGTATTTGAATCTTTGGTGCAGTTGTTATACTCAAAACTTTGCTTACCACACAAATTGTTAGCTCAGAAAGAATAGGTAACCAGCCAAAATGCAATGTTGTGAATTACCTGTGACTGGTTGTCACCTGTTTCATGCTTGAGCAATCCGTCTGCTTAGCAGCTTTGTGGGAAAGGAGCACATGGAAGAAATGCTGTCACTTTAACTTGAAGTGTCTTATATTCTAACCCTTAGGGAGGCCATCAGAAGATGACTACGAGAACGAAAAAGACGACCGCCGTACCCCGCTGGTATCCTTCAACATCCCTGGTTCCATCGCGGCAGTTATACGCGATGAGCAGAACAAGCCGCGTGCCGTCCCCTACGCCAGCCTGGCGCCCGACGAGCAGCAGCAGGTGCTGCAGCGGTTGCTGCTGCAGAGCGCCATGCACAAGCAGCTGCTGGAGGCTGCGGAGAAGACCGGCCAGGAGCGGGGCAGCAACACGTCGCTGGCTGGTAGCCGGCCGGTGACGGTGGAGCAGCTCAAACAGCTGAACATGGGCAATGCGATCGCCGTAAGTCTTTAACATCCATCAATTTGCAGTTTAAAAGGTGTCCAATTTAAACAAATAGTTGAAATAGTTACTGTGGCACCTGCTGTGTGTAAGCTTTTGAATATTTGTAGGAATCCCACAACAGGGTTAAAAATCCATGAAACAATCGTCAGAGGATATAGGGCCTACGGGTTCTAAAGGGCTCCAGATAATAATAATATTAATAACGGAGTCTTATATAGCGCAGGTATCTACCAACAATTAGGTACTCAAGGCGCTGGAAATTATGTCTATTATTAAAGAAAGGTAAATAAAGTATATGAGAAATATGAGACCCATTATGTAGCACCTTATAAGGGTTGACAAGGTGCTGCGACGCATAATGCAGCCACTGCCAGAAACACCGGGGCAAACCCCTTCTCTCAGTGATAAGTGTAACTGGGTTCTTTAACATGCATTACACAACACACGGGACCTACGGCTTTACGTCCCATCCGAAGAACGAAGCAATAATGGTTAAAGTGCATTGCTCAAGAGCACAAGCACCATGTTCCCACGGTCAGGATTTGAACCCATGTACCACGGCACACAAATCGAACATCATAACCATTGGAGCACAGCACCCCACCCAACATATCAACATAGGATCTAGAGTATTTGTTTGTATTCTCCTAAAGGCACACCTACATACATTTTAATTGCCAAAAACACCCTTACTCCCCCAGATTTCAAAAGGGATTCTTAGAAAAATCCTGAGATCAGGAAAAATCCTGACAAAATCCCACCTCTGCCACCAACAATACAATATTCAGTGACTGCATTTATAAACCAACAGTACATGTAACCCCGTTGAACATTTAATAAGTGGAAAGGGAGATTTGAGATTTAGACTCTGTATTGAAAAAAAATAGCAGCCTAATTTTTGTGCAACCTCCAAATAATGTCAAAATTGTATAAGTCCTAAATTCTTAGGAAACCTTTCTATTGCTGTGTGAAGTTCATAAGGACATAAGGAGGGCATGTTTATTAAAGTCAAAGAAGGCTAATAGCTTATGTTGTTTCTTAATCTTCACATGAATTCTCTTTTTCCAGGCTTTGGTCGACACTAATACATCCGGCCTCCTTCAGGGACAACAGGTGTTTGATGACAAAGGCTTCAAGGAACTCTACAAGAAGAGATTTGGTCAGCAGAATGAGCCATCACCTCCTTGTAAGATACTGTTATCCACGTCCTGTAACTTTCTTTTTACCTCCAAAATTAATGTAACCTTTTGTTGTTTTGACTTGTGATTTGAATTCTGATTGATTTGACTTCAACATTAACACTAACCTAGTTCAGCTTTTCACATTGAATAGAAATTAACATGCAAATGCCAATATCTTGCTAAACATGTCAAATATTCTGTTCCCATTTTTCATTTAGTCGTAATTTTCGTTGTGGATGCTTTTCACTTTTGTATTCCTAGCTATTCGGAAGGGCCTGAACCGTAGCGACCATCGCTCCAACATCCCCACTGTTCCCACCCTCCCACCGATTTTGTCGTCCTCAACCAACTTGAAACCGGCGGAGAGGCAGACACTGAAGCTGGACACCAAACTCCCCCAAATCACAATGGAACCGCCCACACCCCAGCATCCTGTGCTGAGTCAGAACACGCAGAGCCGGCAGAGTTCATCGTGGGAGCAGGGGAGTGAGGAGTTCAGGGAATCCTGGCCTTGTAAGTTGTCGTGTCTGTGATAAAGAGGACATATCCTGGCTTTCTGGTCTGTGAGCAAAAAATACCGCAACCATGATGTGTGTGTTTATAATGGAGGTAACTGATGATGGGGAGTGTGGCCTAGTGGTTAGGGTTTGTTACTCATGATCAGAGGGTCAGGGGTTTGAATCCAGCTGCTGGTCATACATTGTGTCCTTGGGAAAGCCACTTTACCCCACTTGCCTCTCTCCAACCAGGAGTATAAATGGTACCGGCATTAGCTGGGGAGTAATTTGTGATGGACTAGCATCCTATCCATGGGGAATAGAAATGTCTCATGCCACTGAAACCGGAGATAGACGCTGGCCTCACGAGCCATTTTGCCTTAAGACAGACTTTACTTACTGATGATTATATTCTCATATCGAGGATCTCAAAAGAGTGTTCCTGGTCCACTTATCCCTGTAGGAACTTGTCATGCAAGGATCTCCCTAAATGGACGTCAGAATGAGTGGTGCTTCCAGAATATATCCAACCTGAAAAGGCCATTCCCACTTTGGTCAACGTGACCACAATAAAACGTTCCCAGATATGGAAACTGCTGGTAGTCTCAAATTGTTCAACATTAGTAAACATTACATTTAAGAAGAGTAAACAATAATGACTAGGTAGTAATAGGAGTACAAAAAACTGTTGACTGCAAAATTCTTTGGACCTTTAACTTGTTTTGTCTGTTTAGTTCGGTGCTGTTCAGCATTGTGCAGCTTTCTTGATTGTGCAGCTTTCTTAAATTGCCCTTTTTGCCATGAGCTGTACATACCCTTGACATCACCCTGACCAAGCCAAATTCTTCTTCTAACGATTGTTATCAAATGTTTGGTTTTTGCAGCCGATGAGACCAACATCTGGAAGGCAGATATTGATGAGGATGAGCTTCTCAAGCAGCAGCAGGCAGCATCTGAGGAGGAAGATGATGCAGAAGATGCTAGAGAGGAGGAGATACATCAATCAGAAACAAAGACCAAATCAGCCAGATCATCCAAGTCCTTTGGTCATCAAAGGTCACCATCTAAGGGCTCCATCCTGAGTTCTGTCAGTGTCAGCATGGGTGAGTCAGAATGTGAAAAAAAACCAAATGGTTCACTTACCTTAACACCACATGTTAAATGAGGCTTTGCAAGGTGGACAGCACACCTCCTCTTAGATTGTAAAGAATCGGGTAGAGCTAGAGTTGAGGTAAAAGTCTGGATACACCATGTTTAGTGACTCTCTCAAAGAGAAGTGGTTCTGGAAAGAACTAGATGTGTTTCAGTCAATGTACTCTGGCTTGATTCTCCCAATGACAGGAAGAGTAAACTGACCAAAACTTTTCAAAACCACATTTATCTTCATAATAATAATAAATAGTTCTTATATAGCGCATTATAGAAAAAAAATGCATCTAGGCGCTTTTGGTAACAAAGAAAAGTTTCTTAAGCTGTAATTTAAAATGTTCCAAGGATAGACTGATCTTAACATGATAAGGTAATGTATTCCATTCTTCCAATGCTGCATATATAGAAATGTTCTTTGGCCATACGATTTGGTGTGAACTGTTTTAGTAACAAATTTCCATCAAGTGACCCTACCAGATTCTCCAAAATGTCAACTCAAAGATTTTGAGGATTTCCCAGGATCGAGGATAATAAATCATTGCCACAACTAGCTGCTTAACACGAAGTTCCTTGAACAACTTCACATGGGAGAAGTTTTTAGATACACATTTTGATGGTTGATGAGAATCTTTGGGACCCATGGCCCGTGGTTGCTCATCAACTCTGAGTACGCTGAAATTGCCTGCTTATTGCTCTTTCAGAGGATCTAACAGGACCCATCGTCTCCGGCGGAAGCAAGCACCCCTCGGGCAGCGAGAAGAGCTACGGGGGATCCTCCAGCGATGCCGCCCGCAGCATCAAGGGCAGCCAGCTCCCCGGCAGCCTGCGGGAAAGTATGCGCTCCTACAAGGGTGGCCGGAACAGTAACACGGGTAGCGTTGTGATGGGGCCCGATGGTGAGGTCCTGTCTATAGGGGGCGGTGTTGGGAGCGGGGCTGACGCTGGGTCCTCGGTGGCCGATGTTACTGATAATTTGCAAGGTATGCTGGGCTTGCTGGGGATGCTTAACCTTCTTCTAAACTTCTTATGCATGAAGGCTCCTCTTTATTCACCTTCAGGGGTAATAGACTCCGTGCATAAGTACCCCCTCAATGGTTTACAAAGGGAGAGTTGGGGGAGACCGCTGAGAGAAGCTTCAAATGCATTGCCGATGCCTGATGTTCATGTGAAAACACTATGGCTTCGTGCTAGTGCTGTCCATTTCCGAATAATTTAGTATTCCATTATTTGAAACTGCACTTGACCAAATATTCGAATATTTGAAACTTGCCGATCAAGTTTTACCCACGCCAGCTGAAGCTGCCTTCCTCGCTGGTCAAAGCACGCCGGTTACAAAATGCATGCAGTGATTATGGAACAATGGAGTGTTTTCAATTGCAATTAATACTGTATAACTGTCCAGGGACTTTACCCAGCTAAAAGAATGGGACCAATGAATACATGTACCTGCACGACAAGGAAATTACCGTCGACAAGAAAGTATCATCTGACAATAAAAACAAATTTACGATTAAAATGACTCCACAGTCAAGTACGCATGTGCATAGGTTTCTCTTTTGAATATTCAAAGCGGCAATAAGCTATTTGAATATTTGATTGAAGATCGATTATTCGAATATTCGGTATATTCGTGACAGCCCTACGTCATGCACATTTAGAATAAAATTGCGCTATACATGAACCAGTATGCGTATGCAGTGTGTCCCGTCCAATGGGCTCTCCAAAGTGGTAAAAAAAAGAAGACATTTACTGTTCGTGCACTGAGTCTATCACCAAGTAGTGCTATGCGAGCACACATACTGTACAAATTGTGAGGTTTCTTGGCAGAAATATCTTTGTTATCTTGAGATATGGCTCTGTAGTTGCTTACACCCTGGTTTTTGATAAAGCATGCAACATCTTTTTCCTACGTTTATTCTGTCTACATTCTGCACAAGACAATGCGTGATATTTACTCTGCATGTTTTACTTTTACATTGTTTTTGCCTGCTCTGTAGAGTAACATTTTGAAATGATATCTTACATGCCGACTAAAATACACTACAGTGGACTCTCTTTAATACAATTTCGTTCAGACCTAGCCAAATTGTTTGTTATATCAGAATTTTGTATTAAGAGGAACATCAGTCCCATTTATTGTGCACAATGGACAGTCGGGACCAAAGCTTTGTGTTTGCTATAACCAGAATTTGTATTAACAGTGTTTGTACTAACGAGAGTCGGCTGTATTTTGATATTCTTTCCTTTTGAATAGTTGCATGTGATTACTTCATTAGCCTGTACAAGCAGAATTCATTAAGAACACTTTTTAATTTGATACACTTGCAGCATTTTTCTAATATATCCATCATTTTTTATGTTACCAATTTAGTGCAAAAACGCATGCTCTTCATCTCTTATTCTGTGATCTTTTATTTACATTTTTTCTTTGCTCTTTGAATCCACCTAATTTGCCCGTTAACCCCCCTCTTGCAAATTTTCTTTCTTATGTTCTTGCTTTCAAAATGGAAGCTTCCAGCATGGCCCACTCTACCCATATGGGGGAGTTGGAAAGTCTGGATGAGCGTGATGAGCTAGAAGGTATTATCAGTGCATGCACATGTGACGTTTCCATTACGCATCATTTTACTCGCACTTGCGTTTTGCCATCAATCCATCAGTATTTTCATCATTTTCATCTTGTTTCCTAGTGTGAATGCAAACATTGCTTTACTTGTGTTGCACCGTGTTTCATATTTTGGGAAAATTGTCACAAGTTCATTTCTGTAAGTTGAACAATTGACTAGATTGGGGTTTTGAATAGGGCTGTGCATCGAAACCGGGTACTGGAGTACCCGACCACTGATGTCAGAAATCGGTTCCAGATTATGGAATCGAGCGCTCGTAACCAACTTTACATATAAATTAGTCGTTCTCAAACAATGAAAAAGAAGGTTTTGAATGTCAGGCTGCATGGACAAACAAAAGATTAGCGTTTATGATGCTTGCAAAAATGCAATTTACACCTTGTATTTGAGCTCGATTATTTTTCGAATAATTTAGTATTTGATTATTCCAACTTGGAAACTGATCAAATATCCAAATATTTGATTGCACTTGATTGCACAATAAGAAGTTTACAGATTTTGTTCAAATTTCACTGGTGACATTCCGTTTGCATTTGTTTAAATCACAGCATGTCTCTTGTTTTGCATTTGTTTTAATTAAAAGCAAAACACTGTTTGTTCACCTCATTGTTACTGAGAACTAGAACAGCGTTGTTTTGATAAAAACAAAACATTGTTTGTTTACTTCATTCTTTCTTAAAAAAAGCAAAAAAAAAAAAAACGGGACACCTGAAAAAATATTGTTGATCAATCAAATATCATTCTGATCGTGTTGCACTGTTCTGAAGATATCATTATTAAATCATGCCATATGAAAGGTATTTTGACATAATTATGTGAAAATTTCATCAAGAGAAACCCATATTCAGAGTTAAGGCTAGTGTATACTCCGTGCGAAAGCGCACACGAATTTGTAATGCACGGCAAGTTTTCGTGCTGCAAATTCGCAAAAGTCGAATCATCTCAAGTCCGGCGAATTTCGCAGCGAAGGTTTTATGAGGTTAAATTTGCTTTGTATCATATGCATTCGTGTGAAGTAAGAACCGGTCTTATAAGGTCTAGATATGCCGGCAAGAAGAGGGAGTTTTGAATGAATCAGAGGTGCAAATTTTACAGCGCTTCTCAGCAGAAAATGTAGTTTAGCGAATTGAAGTGCTCAGCAGAAATCAACAGAGAACCAGTCATTAGCCATATAATCACACGCAATTTTAGTTGGTGAGCCCTTAGGTCATTTTTTTTTAAAGAGCTTTCATAACAGTTCCATAAAATTGACCTCAGGTTCAGCGATGGAAGATTTTTAAAAAGGGATTGGAAATGGAAATTCCTCGGGGGGAAAAATGGTTTGTCACATTTGAGATTTTGTTGCTTAAAGCCTTACCATTTTGTTGCTAGATGATGACACCCTGTCTCAGGACTCGGGTCACATGTCATCCGAAGAGGTCGAAGTTCACGAGCCGGCCCCGACCCCACAGCCAGTGACCATACCGACGGCCCAGTTTGGGGAAGATTTGCCGGAGTCTAAGCCACCCAGCCTACCCAGCGTACCGCAGTCTAAAGCAACCAAGTCGCAGAAATCGGTGGAGGAGTCCATACACTCTGGGAGAGGTGAGAAAAACAGATCATAGTAATCAGTGATTTTTTTTCTCGTTAACAAATACTCTCTCGATAGAGACTTTCCTGAATCCTCCGAGATTCTCCTGTTTGCTGGAATGTAGTGGCAACCAGCCCCATGCAAAAGTAGCTGGGCTGTACCTCTCTCAATCCTGCCATATGAGGTATACTTCCCCAGAGGATTTCAAAGGATGTTAGAGGGTTTTGTTCAATAATTTATATTTGGAATATTACAGTGGCTTACACTTGTGAGCAGCTGTAATGTACCAGAAACCAAACCAGTCTGAGCGTTTAACTGTAATTTTTGTTTCGAGTGCAAAATGAAAAGTATTTCAATCAAGTTTCCTCCCCGAAGCCCGGTTCATACTCGGCGCGAAAGCAAAGCAAGCACGAATTTGTGTCGTCATGGCAAGTATTCGCGCTGCGAATACATAAAGTTCAACATACCTGATTTTCAACTCAGGCGAATTTTGGGTGAGTTAGCTCTGCATTCGCATTTGCGTGAAGTATGAATCAGGCTTAACTCCTGGGGTTTTTTTGGCCGGCTTTTAAAAATTACCCATAGTCAGTACATTATTTTAACTCAGTAATGACTTTTTAAGTTTTTCAGATAATTTATGGAAAGAATAATTTTGTGATGCAGTTATTTCTCTAGCAAGTCCATCGCTGCCAATGAGTGATAGCCATGATTTGGCTAGCTCTAGACAATCCATGGCTAAGTCAATCACATACCCCAGTAAACCAAGAAACACACCAGCGTCCATTAAACAAGGTAGAACCATAACTTTACCCATCCACTGTGTGGCAGTGTGGCACGACTTGATTATAAATCACGATACACAACACAAACTCTACACTTTTTTATTGAAAAGAATTGAAATGAAGATGGGTGGTTCCATTATTCTTAATATTGAAGGCTATTTTGAGAATTTGTGCAATTTCAGCAAATTCTGGAAAAGTGTGAAAATAGTAGACTAATTAGAAGTTTGGTAAAAAATAAGAAAAGTTCTTGAAATCTTCAAATTTCTTTAAAAAATGAAAAGGCTGCTCAACCCTAACTCCCTAGCATATTTTACTAGGAACCATACCCATCCTGGCAAATTCCAACACCCACATGGGAAATCGTACACACACACTGTCGGACTTAGTTTCTGGAGGTATGCCAAACCCAATGTAAAAGACCATCAGTTTAGGGGTACTGCACCCATTCTAACAGATTTCAACAACACCTGCTGTTGGGCTTTGATGGGTTGAGTTCGGCTAGGGTTAATATATATATCAAGCGATCAATTGTAAACGTTACAGAATCTCACAGTAGGCTCTCGAACATTAAAACAAGTTTTCAGTTTAATTTTGATGATACATACAGCACAATCATTATTCATGTAACAGCTTTGCACTGTTCACCATTTTTGGATGAAAGTCACCCCCAAAACACGTTGCGATCGGTACACTTGAGGTCAAGAGAACCTTAAATGTTTTTATTATTTCATGTAGTAATGGAAACAAAGTTACGAAAACATTGTACTTGGGCATTGAAAGTGAATACTGTGTGGCCCACTGGCAGTTTTGGTCTTTGCATAAACTGCACCCTTCTAGCAGTCTATTGCATGGAATTGCACTGTTTACCATCGTACATATACACTCATAAAAAGTACAGAGACAAAGATACATTTTGTTGACATTTTCTTAGAAATTGGTTTGTGCCATTTGCAGGTAAGGCACACATGATTATCTGCAGTTTGCTCTTTGGGCCTAGCCAGAGCGAGTCTTCACATTTTTACACACACCCCCTGGCTTGATATTATGTAATGACTGACGAATGAGTGAATTGCATGCACACGCATTATGCACTTTAATGCACGTAAAATGCAAACCAGCTATTCACGCCATCTAAAGATTTTCTTTAATCTGTTTGATCCTTACTGGTGCATGTATATAATGCTATTTTTCAGTACAGCAACGCTTTGTGAGGACATCACACGAGTAATGAAGCGTAGACCACATCTGAGAAATGCATTAACTTTTGTAGCGCAAACTATTTCCTCGATGTGATTAGATGAAAAAGTTGTCGAAAAACATGCATTTAAAAACAAGTTTATGATTTGTTTGAAAAATTAAACTCAAAGTCTTTCTGTTTTAATACTCTGTTCTTAAAGCAAAACTAGAAAGCAAGGTTTATAAGTTTACTTACAAATTTGTCAGGCGTATGAACTTCGCATCAGAAATATTAGAGGGAGGTTAGAATTCATAATTTTATTTGCTCTTTCCCCCACACTGTTTCTCACTTTTGCCTGAAAAATCCTAAAGACATAACAGGAGGCGATCTCGACGCGACCAGATCTTTCGCCAATTTCAGTTACGGAAGCGTGGGGCGAGATTCTGTTGCAGAGGATGCCTTGAGCCAGGATGGGATCGGTAAAAAATCTGAGCTCGGTGTCCACGTTTGTCTGGGCTTTGGTGTGTTTTGGGATATTTGTGTTTCCGTGGAGTTGCGACAAGGTTGCTTGGTGTTGCAGACAAATTTGCTTGTTTCTTGATTCAATGCACTCATGTGTAAATGTATTCATTTTCCAGGTGTGGTCTTTGGTAGTGGAATTTTTTTGAAGAAAAACTAAGATTGTCTTCTCAATCTGTCGGGTTCTCCCATCGTCAAATTTCTTCCCTTCTGAGAATTTTCCAAGATGTTAATTTTAAGCTAAGAAATGAAATATAATTTCAGTTGATTCTGTAAGGATGGAGAAAGAAGCACATCTTCCATGACTTAGAAAATTGAACTGGGTAAATTACATTGAGGAATATAAGATTTGAGGCTTTGCATGGTGGGGTTTCAGCAAGCACTCCTAATCCTAACAAACCCTACTTAAGGAGTAGCATCTCCAACTTTCTTCAGTCTCCTGACGATGACTAGAGCAGGCTAGTCGAAACGTTGAGACCAAAGACAAGTTCTTTTAGAACTTACAGCAGGACTGTTCTAAACAGAACAAAAAAACTACTTAGCAAGTTGATAATAAGCAGGACAAGTTCTTCTCAGAACTAATATCTTCTAAGCAGTAGTTATTACCACATGGTGTTACCGCAAAACCGAAACGATACATTGAGGAATATATTTGGAAATGGGAGAACCCAAGTTTTTGAAAGTAGCACAGCATCAGCATCATGTCATCATCACCATCAGCATCATCATCACCATCAGCATCATCATCACCATCAGCATCATGTCATCATCATTGTCATCATCGTTGTTGTCATTTTTTTTAATTTTTTTTTTTTAAATATCATCGGCTTCTTTTACAGGCTGTCTTGCATGCAGCGGGTGTTGGAAGCAGACATCTTGCAAGCAGTGATCAAATTGACACAAAACTTGCACTGCAAGATAACTATAAGACCTGACCGTTATGCCATTCTAAAAAAGCTTATATAAAGCAAAAAGCAAACAGACATAACTTCTTAAAACCTACTCATTAGATGGAATTTGCGTCGGGGTAATGTAAATTCAATATTGGGTTTTGCTCTTCACCGACGTATTTTATAAACACTGTATACTCAGTGTTGTTGTCCCCGAGTGATTGTGAGAAAAAGTCACTCGGGTGGGACTCGAACCCACGACCACCTGCTTACTAGTGCAGATGTCCTACCACTCGACCAGTGAGCTTGCCGGGGTCGGCTGGCTTTGTGTGAAGAGGGTCGAATCACATTTCTCTCCCCCTTTTTTCAAACCCTAAAAAAAAATTCCTAGTGTTTTCTGAATTTTCCGTCATGCCTGCTTCCAGCACCTGTGCATATCACCGGTTGAAACTAACCCATGAATGAATTTTTGCAGGTATTTGCAATTAATACAGTGCTGCTGTTGCTTTCCTTTGCAGGTTGCCAAATAACAGAAATAAAGTTCATTTTGTTTCCATCACCACAAAGAAATCCACACAATCAGTTGTGCTTTTTTTATAATCACCAGGGAATGGGTTTTGTTCTTGACACGTACACGTTTTGTTTTGTAGGGTTTCTAATTGCAAAATAGAACAAGTTTGTCGTTTGCTCATAATCTTCAATGCCCAGCTTCAGTCTGTGTTGTAGGACCCGAGTCACAATTTCAGTGACTCAGACTTGAGTTGAGTCACATCAACAAAATACTCAGACTAAAGCGGAAAATTGGGCTAACCTTAAGCAGTATTTCATGGCGTGGATGTGTTAACGTTGCGCGTGCATGGAGGTTTCTTTTGTTACGTCTTAGATTTAAGCAACATTTTCCTCTGAGGTAAACATGCTTTTTGTGTGCTTACTGCTTATGGTCTCCATGAAATAGATGGAAGCTCTGTTAGCAGAAAAGTGTGTGCTTAGCAGCGCTATGAAATTGGGCGCTGTTCAATTGCAGTAGACAGAGTAGCCGGTTCGTTAGTGTGACGTGATCTCAACAGAACTATGCGTACTTCACACAGTGTAGCATAGCACGAAAGGAACCTGAAGTTAACGCAACTTGAGCCAATTGGCGCCAGTAATCAGCGGTGTGGGCGTGTATGACGAAGTCACTAACGAACTGGATTGTGATATGTGCATAGGTGGAAAACTACATGCAGCTTCTTAATGCCGATTAACATTGATAATTATGCATATGCTCTGAAAATTTAACAGATCTAATGTCATCACTTGCAGCTCTGAAATATACAGATAATACATTTTATTTTTGCATTTTGCTTTTCCTTTTTATTTATTTGCTAACAAAGTAACCCCGGCAATACTTATAACTGGTAAGCGGCTAACCCATTTTAAAATTGTTAGTTATCAAATCAGTGTAGCAAAATATAGAACTGTGAGTGACTACATTTAATTTCAAACAACCACAACCATGAAAGTAGTTCAGGGTTGCTCGGGAGGCGATAGAGTGCCGACATACAGTGTAGAGTTGTATGACTTATCACTCAAACTCGGACTTGGGGGACTTGAATTTCACCTAGACTTAAATGAATTTCAGACTAGAAATGAGATTTGTTTGTTAAAAGGAGATGACGGCAAAATGCCCAATTAATTATAAAATACTAATCATGCTTTTGTTGCAAATCTAACCCATTGTCAATAGCAAACAGTAAGAGGTTTACCACTTTGACATCATCATAGTGCAACGATTGTAAAAAAAAGACAGTTCACCTTGTTCTTTTAAAGTATAAAATTACTTGAGAATTTCCTTTTTGGATATTAAAGGAAAAAGTGAAAATTGAGGGGAACGGTATACATGAAAAAGACTTTTGACTAGAATGTTACTTTTGTGATGCTAGTCTCAGAACTGGACTTGGACTTGTTGTTGGACGTACTGTCACACTCGACATCAATTTAGAAGATTTAAGGGCTGTAGTACAACCTAGCTACCATGAAAGAGTTACAGTTTGCTTTCCTCATGCTTTTTCGGCATGGAAATTGACCATTAACAATAGTCGGTTTCCTCATAATTTGCTTTATAATAATGCAAGATGCTGCATTCCAAACTAACAGGCTTATACTCACAATTCATTCGGAATCGGTCCATTGCTAAAATCAGAGCTTACCATGAAACTCCTTTATACCATAACGCATGTGACAGTCAGGATGAACTATCAGTTTCCATCACGGTGGTAAGTTATTAGGATCTGATGTAGGCACATAATTTTGCAAACTGAAATTTTGACAATACGTAGTGAAATAACAATTGTACCTTGCCTCACTGCTCTAAAATGTTTGACAGTTTCCATATTTGGCCAATATGACAATAAGTGAGAAAAGCCAATGGACTTAAAAGGTTTAAAATTGTTTACAAACTCGGAGCAGCTGCAAAATGGAAAGTTACGTGGATAGGTCTCTCTCAAATGACGTCACTTACTACAGATTGCCACACGCATCGGCATTTTAGGCGTCAAAGTTTCGTGACGTGCTTCGGCTGTGCCGTGTTTCAAAGGAATTATGAACAAACACACTTGTTTAGAACATTTTGCACACTGCATGCACACGCATTTGATGGCGTTGAACATGTAGTTCTAATTTCCCTATGAAGATGGCATCCTATGAGAAAGATGTATAAGAATACTGTATAAGTGGCTTGTTGTATATAGCTGATGATAGAGTCCTTTGTCAGTATTCTTGTATTGCTTTGTTTGAAAACAAGAAATTCTTACCTGAGAACTACAGATGTGTAATTCAGTGTCAATCTAAATACACTTCAGATGACCATGGGGAGAGAGAGCCAGCTGCGGAGGATGAGGTCATGTCAGAGCAGGAACCTGATTGGCCGACTGAGTTTGGAGAAACTAGCGAGCCAGCCGAGGAAGATGCTGTGATGGAAGAACTGGAGGATGAGCATGTGCAGGAGGTAAGTTGTGTGGATTTGACTTGGATAGCAACTCGTATCTGGAGCCAACTAAATAAGTCATAAGGGTAATTAGTTTTTCACATGCCGTGAAATATATTGTGAAGTCTTGCAGAAGCTTTCTGCTGTTTAGAAAACAGGTAACAGATTAAAGGGAATATACATCATTTGCTTTTGCTGTAATTTTCAGAAACGGATGGAATGGGGGGGTTGGAAATATATAGCAAATATAGTTACACTGACTTTTTTGAGGTTTTGGGTTCGAAAATGCTATAAAAACAATCCTTTTCCTGTAATCTGGTTCCCTGACTCCATATAAGAAGAAACAGAGCAGTTTACATACATTGGGGAATTGTAAGGTCAGGGAACCAGTCTAGCTGGCTTGTACCCGTTCATAGGTGTGTAATCGATTGCAAACAAGTGCGATGGTCAATTGGGCCAGTATTTGAAAAAAAGCCAGTTTTTTTCCAACGCTGGTCAGCCGACCAGCGTTGGAAATTGATACAAAAATAACAAATTTCTTGAAAATGACAGTATACCAGGTGCCATGATTTTACAGGATGCTTTACACTGTCATTCACTAACAGTCCAGCAAGGTATTTCAAAATGATTTGGTAGTTTTATTTTTTGATGTTTGCAAATGTTGTATTTTCCCTTTAACAAAACCTTTCTGTTTGCTGTTGGGCATTGTCTCTGGTTAGAGGTGGAGTTGTGGCGTCCTTGCATGACGATACCTTCTGCAGTGTTATAACACAAAACATTACTTGATTTAATGATTCAACCTACCAGGTTAATCAAGAAGAGGAGATATCGGCAACAGAGAGCGTCAAGGATGATATCGCATCCCAAAGGGCGCCCTCACAGCTGGAGGAGTTAGAGGAACAGGCGGCAGCCGTGGCAGCCATAGTTTTGGAAAGGCCAAAGTCGGGACGGGATCTCGCAGAAGACGCACAGGTATATTTTATTCTCTAACTTTTTTTGTTATAGTGATTGTAAATTTGTTTCCACACGAAGTGTAAAAAGTTCAGCTCTTATTGCCCACCAATGTTTCGTACAACTGGGAGACAGCTTTATCACAGAGGATGAGAACTATGTTAACAGCTTTGGTAGTAAATGCTACAGAATTATGCTACAGTGGAACGCTGCTATAACGAACATTGCGGGATCCACAGAAATTGTTCGTAATAGCGATCGTTCGGTATAACAATTCTAAGCTGACTAATCACGTTTCAATAAATAGCGCCCTTCAGAACTTTACCCTGCACGCCCTGATAGCTGAAAGACGACTTTTAACACGTACCGACTATTGAAATGTGTAATTACACAGTTTTTGTGCTTACTACTTACAGCAATGGGAGGCTTTCCCTTTCTATTCCTTGGGGAATTATAACCACTTGTCGCTCTTCTATTGACTTTTTCAACAACAATTTTCGGTAACAGTGTACACAAAAATCGGGAGCCACGGACAATGTTCGGTATAGCCAAATGTTCGGTATAGCAGTGTTCTTTATAGCGACGTTCCACTGTATCAACATTTGTGTGTAAACTACTCAGATTGCAGCCGACCTGTGGATGAAGAAGTTGGGAGAACTCTTCAACCTGTCAGGCGATCCCGAGCGCGTCCGGTCGGCCATGATACGGAGACGTCGCAACTCCCTCGATGCTTCATCTGTCGCATCATCCACAGAGTACGGTCGGTGGTCTGGGCCGAAATTAAAGAAGAGTCCAACTAAGAAGTCCAGGAGAATGAATAGGGTCCACTCAGCGGAGGCAGCTGTCCACTTCTTGGAGAATCTTATCAAAGGAGGTATGAGCATTGTATAATTCCTTTCCAAACCTGTTGAGGAAAAAAGATAATCAACTAACCCACAAAGGGAAATTAACCGGGTTCTTTTTAACCAATTTTGAGCAAAGCAATTGACAGGAGCAACTCTTGAGCTTGCAATAGTGGTGGGAGAAATCAGAGATTTCAAAATCCGGTTATCAAATTTGTTTTCAATCCAAATACTGGTTATCCGATTTCCGGAAGTTCCTACTCAGCTCACAGTCATGCCAACAAAAAGTGAGGAGTGAGATGCCGCATGCAATGCCCTCCCAATGACTGGGGATAGCATGCAGGATTCAATGACCACTGGGCCTTTACAAAAACACTCCAGAGCTGTAACTTTGACAAAATGGGTAGGAACTCTCTGATAAGTCAAATGAGGAGGCTTTTCATATACCAAGAAGACCACTAGCAAGTGAATGCAGTTACAATCGGAGACCATGGAGCAAATTGGGGGATGTTCCAGTTGTTGTCTTCAGCCTGTGTCACAAAAAATGGAAGACTAAAAAAAATTTAACGATGGTTTCGAATATCCGGTTTCATAAATTGAACCGAATAGTGAAATTCAAACCGAATTAAAAAAACTTGGGATTTATATCCCACCACTAGCTTTCAACTTACAGAATACCATGCAAGTAATCCATCGACTAAGCTATCAAACTGTATGTTGGTACATGCAGTTTCCCAATTTGTGGAATGTCTTTGTTCAAGGGGTGCTAGTCAGAAGCCATGACCCTTGTTGCTAGGGATAGGTGGTTAGAAAAGCTATCAGTCCAATAGCCAATTGTGCATGCCGCTTAAGTAAGCATGCCGTCCTGGCAAAAGATGAAAAGTGCCCTTGAATGTCAATAACAATATCATAATCAGTTTGTCTGCTGCCCTCAATTGTCTCAAGATGTACATAATTATATACAATATACGGGGAAAGAATGTAGTATCCAGACGCCGCTTCTTTGGTTGTGTTCAAAGTCTATGGAGAATCGAGTGCATTTCAAAGTATTTTTTAACAAAATTGGAAATGTTTCTCAGTACCAGATTCATGTCTTTTCAACGTTTCTGCAATGACTGACCTTCATTGAGATAATATATGATGGAAAAAGGTGGCGTCAGGATGCAACATTCTGTCCACATAAGGTTTACTCGTTAATACCATTATATTAAAACCATTATATTAAATTGAATTTCATACTCAGTTCACTGTATTTTAACATGGATTTTTAACATTAACATCATCATCCTTAATCACTCTTAATCAGCTTTATGCCTCATTTTTCCAGTTTGTCAAATATGCATGTATGGGATTTTATCAAAAAGATTCCATTTGCTAAGGTTTCCCAAATTGCATGGATTTAAGTGTTTTTACTCATTTTAATTCACTGCTTGCATGCATCATGAATATTAACATATTCAGATGAGGAGGGAGAGCCTGTACTGGATGATGACCACACCCTTGATGACATCATCATTAGTATGTATTCGGTTGCCGTGCCAATACTTGATTTTACTTTCTCACTTTCTTGGCTGTCTTCCTGCGAGCAGATTTTTTGCCTAGAATTTTTTCATCATCGCCTTTAGAGATTTAGTATTGTCATGAGGCTGTCTTAGACTTCTACATTTTCTGCATTTTTTTTGCATACAAACTTTTATTTCATACTTTCTGTCCTTTTTAATGTAGATACCAACACAGCCATGTCAAATTTGATATGCAAAAACACACTTAGAACTTAAAAAACATTTTCAATTTGATTCAGTGTTTTAAGCTTTTTTGCAAACCCACCATTTATCTAGAAGTGGCCCAAGCTAATGAAAAGGTAGAAATAGCCCCCGATGTGATCGAGATGTTAGCAGAGCCAGAACCCATCCAACCTGAAGACATTATGGTTATCGAAGACACTGAAGACGGAAAACTCCGCGTCTTGTCCCGCGCCGGCTCAAGCAGGAGCGTACGGAGCCGTCAGAGCATGCTCAGTGCTGGGAGTGTGCGCAGCAGGCTTAGCGTGCACAGCAGAAAGAGCGCCCCCAGTGCTCGTTCGGCCAAGAGCGCGCATAGTCGCAAGAGCGTGGAGAGCAAGCGGAGTTCTAGGAGCGCTGAGCTGCCAAGAAGCATCCCCAGTGCCACAAGCTCATCAGGCAGCTATGATCATCACGCTTTCAACGTGGAGCCGCCAAGCGATAAAGAAGATGAAGATAAGAAGACTGTAGGAAAGAGCTCTGAGGATGCGACAGATGCAGCAGAAGAGGTCTTAGATGGCAAAGATAACACGGAAGAGACTGGAGTTGCAGAAGATGCACACTCTGAAAAGACAACCTCCAAGCATGAATCTGAACAAGAGAAGGAAGAAAGCAGGTCTGAAGCAACCCTTGATGAGAAAACACTCAGTGAAGAAGTCTCAGAAAAAGATGCATCGCCACCCCAAGAGGCCAAGTCTGAGAAGAGGACCCCAACTCCGGAAGAGCAACCTCCTAGGCCTCCGACAGAGAACGTTGTTGAAAAGGAAGAGAACAGTGAGTTTGGGAAGCCAGTATTTGACAGCACAGGATGTGGATTTCTCTCAACCTGGAGTGGCACTGTTTCTACTTGAAGGCACAAAGCACATGCAGTTAACATTCGCATTCACCAATGGGTGATCAGACAGCACAGTGTGGCCTGTTCTTATTGGTTGATGTATGACTTAAAGCACCAATGTGAGACTACTGCACAGTTAAAAACCAGTTGAGAAGTTATATGAAGTGTACAGTATTTGAACTCTCCCCACGTTGACTTGCTAGCACCATCCACACATACCCACCTTTTACACTGCAAAATTTAGGTCATGCCTTTACCATGAAAAGTAATTATAAGTTTGTTTAACCCATATACTTTCACCACTAACCTAAACATTTTAATGAAGATGTTATTTGTGAATGAAAACTGTCAACTAACTTTCAACATCATATTTTTGTAATATCTAACCCATGCACTTGCACTGTGTGCTGTGTTACCGCATTTCTGTAGTTTTTCCTGACATACACTGCTATAATATTACAATAATGATACATAATACGATTATTGTTTTAATAATGATGATAATGTTTATGTATGAATTTCTTTTCTGTGTTTTCAAGTTGGAGTAAGTATGTATGATCGCCCTGTTTCCCTTTACTTCCTTACTACGTTTCCCTGAGCTTCCTACAAAATATTGTAGGTTTCTGACTGGAGCAGGATTTGAATCACAACCTCCAAAATACTAAACAGGCTCTATTGAGCTATTAAAGCTATCTAACCCCGTTTTGGCAGTCCTTTTTTTTTTTTTAAATGGCTTTGTTTGTAGGGCACTAGTCAAAAGCCATATGGGTCATCGTTGCGGTCCACTTTCTTCTGTCCATGTTACATCTGACATCTATGATTTCACAATTTTGATGCACTCCTTAACCAGTTCGCGCTGGGATTATTTTGACATTGACCGGACCTAGGCGCGGGATTGTTTTCACGAACCTCAATGCCAGTCCGTCATCTGCGGTAAGCACACCCTGATATTTCCGGCCTCGCTTGCTGCAAGCGGGTCTCTGACAGATATTTGCGGCCTCGCTTGTTGCGTGTTTATCCGTTATCCGTTCCGAATACCGCAAAACCTGTGGGTGTATACACGTCATCCAATGTGAACTGGTTAATGTAGTAGTCCCCCAAGAGTTATTATGAATAGCAAACTACCCACTAAATCAAAAATTGTTTGAAGACATTCTTAATGATACTTGAATAGCAAATTACAAATTACCAAGGTAACAGGGACAGGAAAAATGCCACACTTTGGACCCTAAATTTATAGAATGACCCATTTGTGAAATGACACGAAACCATTCCAGAACTCGGTAACAGTAACTAAGCAGTAACTAATAACCAAGTTTTAGCAACTGTAATTTTGCGCTGTAGCCTCTAACAATTACATCTTCATATTTCCAGGTGGTGATGCAACAGAAAATGTTTCTGTGCACTCCGGCAAGACAGGCAAGTCGGTCAATTCTGCCAAGTCTCCCTCCCGGGCAGAGAGTGCCCCCAGCGTCAAGTCAGATAAATCGGCAGCTGTCAAAAGCACCCCGAGCGTCAAGGGTGACGCGGGTGGTCCGCTGGAGTTTGGTGTAACAAACTACGGCGTTGCTGACAAGAAGGAACAGGTGTGTGCTTTGTCTCTCCAAAGCAGAGTTCATGGATGATCATGTCCCGAAAGCATGTGCACAATTTGATAGGAACACGGAGATACTGCTGACAGTTTAAGCCAGTTTGGTATTCGAACTTTGCAGTTGCTCATAAGCATCTGACAAGTTCACTTTGGGATAAACTTAAACAAGGTAGTTAAAAGGGAAGAATGTTGCATCCTGACGCCACTTTTTTATCATATATTATCTCAGTAAAGGTCAGTCTTTGCAAAAATGTTGAAAAGACATGAATGACGTCACACATTTTTCAAACTTTTGTTCATATATCTATGACCTAACAAACCTAATACAAAAACAATTTTTAATGTAGCATATTTTTTTCTTGAGATATGCAGATGAGATGAAAAAATTGAAATATCAATAAAAAATCAAATGATGATGTCATCATGATGTCACCTCAATTTTTGTCTATAACACATCCTTGACTATGTACATACCAAGTTTCAACCCAATCGGCCTTGTAGTTCTCTAGATATAGGCTGTTGAAAAATGCACCTTGAAGATGATGTCACATGACACGTGATGACATCATCATGACGTCACTTGTCCATACACGACTTTACTATGGGGTCTTAGTGTATGCTAAGTTTCATCAAGATTGAAGTTTGTATATTGTCAAAAGTGACCCTGAAAATGAAACATGTACAAAGTCTATGGGATTTCAGATAGAAGAACAAGGGAAAAGAGAAAGAAGGAGAAAAAAATCAGAATAAAAATAATGGCTTTTCCAGGAAAGCATTCGTTACACATTTCAGGATGCTGTACTTAAAAGAATCCGTGTACATTTCTCAACAGGAGAAGGAAGCTCCCATTGTCCGGCCCCCGGCAGAGACCGCAAAGCCACAGGAACAGAGCACGGAGGATGACGAACTCGCTAAACTCTTGAAGGAAACGGGTCTGATGGAGAAGGCAGCGGATGCCAAGAGCTCCAAGAGTGGTAAGAGCAGCAAGAGCAGCAAAAGCAACAAGTCCAACGGCGGCAAGGAGAAGAACAAGGAGGAGTTTGTTGTTAGTAAGTTGAAGGTTTCCGAATTATTTTCTTAGCCCGTGTGATGGAACTTGTGGATTGAGCATTTAAACGATTTTGAATGAAACTTTCAATTCGTGGAACTCCTTACAGTTCAACTGACAAACCTGTATCACAATAATTATTCAAATGTTGTAATTCAGAAACACTTTTATAATAAGTTTTATGATTGATCTATTAGCAAAGAGCAAGTTCATGCATACAAGTGTCAACTATTAGTCAATCAGTCCTTTCCAACACACATGCAGGCTTTCCAACACACATGCAGTAGGTCAAAAGTTAAATAAAACCAGGACATAAGTAGGACTATGGAGGACAAAATCAGTATAAGAGTAGGACTTTTGCGAGTTTTCAGGAGTTTTTTCATTGATACTCACCCATGTCCACAGCATCATGATCCTCATTTGGCATGTTCTGTACTTGTGCTCCATCCTCAACTAAGCTCTTGGAAGTACAGTTGCAGTACTCCTGCACCCAAGCCCTTCATTGTGTGATTTACATATGACAGTGTGTAACACTGTTGTGAAAAAGATTCAAAGAGATTTTTTCAGAGTGGCGGGACATGAAAGTAGAAAAAAGTTGGACTTTCAAGAAAACAAATAAGAAAAGTAGGAGCAAGGTAAAAAAAACTAGGAAAAAGTAGGAATACTCAAATGTCTGCACACACATGTATGCAATAACACAGGGTTCAAAATTAGCGGTAGCCTGTCAGCCAAATGCTAGTCAAAACTATTCCTTAAGTAGCCCGGCTGGCGAGTTAAAATATTACTGGGATACGGCAAAGATGAAAGGACAGGAAGAAATAAATCATTAAATTCAGAAAGAAAACCTCATAAATTTGTGTCTCATTTTTTTCAACTGTTTTAAAAGGTTAAATTATTAGATCTGTTTATATTTAAAAACACTGACAAACTTGCCTCAGAATTGAGCCTGAAAATGCGCCATTTAGTATTTGAGCTAAAAAAAATGCGGGCTAGTGAAAATGCCCGCGGGCTAGTTAAGAGGCTGTTTCAGTAGCCCGGCTGGCTAGTGAACAAAAAAGTTAAGGTCGAACCCTGCCATAACATTCTTCTTGAACGGCCCTAGTCAAAACATTTTTGACAAATTTACTTATATTTTTTTTTCATTAGTGATTTGCCCAAACTTTCTTGCTTCATCCCTGCTATCATTACAAAGGATAGTGCTCTTTGCAATCACAAGAAGTAATGGCAAGACCTAGATCTCAGACCAACATATTCAAAATTGAGCGTAATGATGATGTACTTGTATGCCCTCAAGTCAAGTCACGCGCTATTCTGATGAACCCAACGGTATTTCTCTGTCGTTATTCTTCCATTGCTTGTGATCTGTCTCGTGATTTGACTTCTGATTGGCTTAATTACTCCTTCCTTTGTTTACAGAAAAACCAGCGGATGATAAAGTAGACTACCTCCCCTACAAACCGTTGGCTGAGAAGAAGCCTGAGGAGACCAAGGCCGAACCTGCAAAAGGTAGACATTTACTTGGCTTTGCAAATTGAAGTATTGAGTTGGTTTGTGGTTAATGCAGCAGTTTGTATAAAACCAAAGGTCTTCTATTGCTGGTTTTCTTCGCCTCGTTGAATGGAACATTCAATCTTTCAACTCATGAAAATATTCTCACCATTACACTCATAAACATTCATTAGTTGTATAATATTATTATATATTATTATAGCTCATGCAATATATTGTTGTATCCCATCAAAGCCATCCAATAATATATAAATACCCCCAGGTCAACTCTAGACTCCAAACCATGCAACTTTAGTTTATTTTATATCTTCGGACAATAAATAAAAATCTATTTAAAAAAAAAAAGAAGTAAAATTGTCTTGGTCTAGACAAAAGTTTGTAAAAGCTGTCATCAAAGATGTGGCAGACCAGACCAAAATTTTCTGTATTGCAAGAAGTGTTTTGCCTTTTAGAAATTAACAGAACCTGTATACCAGAGATAAACTTTCAAACAGTTTTCTTCACATCTCAATGTATAAAATGTAACAACAGAAGGACAAGACAGAGTAGCAAAAGACAGGTACACGAAAGTAGGAAAAGTAGGAATAAGATGCTATATAATCGGGACAGGCTGTCAAAATACACTTTTTTTAAAATAAATATAATTTTTTTTTCTGCGTTTGTGAATAGCAACCAAAGCAAAGAAACCAAAGAAACCTTCAGCAGCGAAAAAGGCAGCTCCTGCCAAGAAATCAAAGAAGAAACCCAAAGCGGAAGCAGCAAAGGAGGAGCCCAAACCGCCTCAGGAGGAACCAGTCAAGACAGAAGAGAAGGTAGAAGAGACAAAGAAAGACGAAGATGTCAAGCTGCCTGAGGCGCTGGCCGCGACGGAGCCGTTTGAAGACGAAGAATTTGAAGAAGAAGAGGAGGTTGAGGAGGAGAAGCCTGAATCTCCCGAGTTCATCATCATCCATGATGTAAGTAGAGACAAGCTTTCATCATTTTCTTTCATAACTCTCTTTGGGTATTCAAACGGCATAAAGAGAGCCTTTGAGTAGCTTTCATTCAATCGGCATCGTTTATACACTGTATGTTTTGAAAAGTGGGATCCGTTCAAAATGTGTGGTTTACACTGGTTCTTCTCAGGACTACATACGACTCACAAGAAACGTAATTGTTATGTGGTGTCCAGAAAACTTCTCCTCATCACTGCCCGCAACATGCAAACCTTGTACAGTTTTTCAAGTATGAACAGAATGTGAATACTTTTAAAATTTTATTGGTACTATGGTATCTGCTACCCGAGCATAATGTAGTACTGCACCGACTTTTCATATGTCATGGATTAGGCTATTAAGCCAAGGTCCACGAACGTGCTCAGTGCTTCAGAATAACAAAGTTAAGACAGAAGCAGCTCAGTCTTGAAAGCATGACAGACTATCTAGACAGAGATTCAGAAAGTCATCTATAACCCCAGTGCTTCAAGGTCTTCCGTTCCAGTTCTGTTTTAAATTTGAAGGTTTCATGCTGTTTGATGTGGTTTAAACTTATTTCTAGGAAAAAAAGTCTTAACGTTCTTGTCTGCAGAGCTACTGTACAGTGTGTTTCAAAAAAAAATTGGAAACAAAATATAACGGAATGCCAGATGTAGAATGTGTACATGTAACCAACATAGATAAAATACATGTAGGAATGGTTTGGAAGATACAACCTTTCCACTTTTAATAAAATGAGACATCGAATGTCCAAATCTGTAATGTTTGTAATCTGTAATGTTTGACAGAGTAATTTTCCAAGAAAGGTCAAATTGCACATAGGACCCAAGTTTTGAATTTTAGGCATTGGAACAAAGGTAGCCTAATTACCTCTGTGTGGATATTTGCCTGGCCTACAAAACAGTGTTTAGCGAGTAAACCCAATTCTAAACACTTTCTTGTTATCAGTTTGTAAACATGTTTGCATCCTAAACATTTTTAGCATGAGATGATAGCAAGAAAGTGTTTAGACTTGTTTTAACTCCCTTAACACAGGTAAATATCCACACAAAGGCAATTAAAGCTATAAATAATTTTGTCCCAATGCCTCAAATAGACCTGAGACGTAATGACGTAATGGCTTTGTTTACATATGCGCTTTCCTATGGGAGCGGAGTCGGGACGCCAGATAAAGTGGGGTCCGCCTACCACATAGGAAAGCGCACATGTAAACAAAGCGTGACGTCATTACGTCTTAGGCTTATTTAAACCTTAGGTCCCATGGTCAGTTTGACCTCTCTTGGAAAATTACTCATAACTCTGTCAAAAATTATCAGGTTTGGATGTTTGATGTCTCATTTTAAAGTGGAAAGGCGTATCTTTGAACCACACCTATATTATCTATGTTGGTTATTTACGTCTGGCATTCCATTAAATTTTGTTTGCCTTTTTTTTGAGACACACTGTATATTGATTGTGTGAATTGGGTTTTTGCTTCAGAAGATCCTACATTTTACACTTTTGTTACGGCAGGTTGTTAAAAAAAAAAGATTTTCACTACAAGCTGAGACATCTGTCTGACCTTGAAACGAGTTGTACATGTATTTCTACATCAAGGCTTTCAATTACAAATAGATGGATGGTGAAATTGCAATAATAAATTTTGCTGAGGACACAAAAATTTCACGCAACACAAGGATTGAAAACAACATTTCTGTCTTCAGTATACGCTTCACGACTGGGTGTACATCACATTACATGTACATATTCCACATTGCAAATCCTGGAAGAAAATTCTGTAAATTATTGATTTTCATGCCTGATGAACTTGGTGAAAATTTAATAATGAAGAAAATTTCATTACTTTCCGAAGTTGCTCAACATTGACAGGATTTTTTTTCAGTGTATAGAGTGAAGGTCCAATAAAAATAAAATCATTAATTTATGATCTAAAAAATACACAAGCTTTTGGCCCAATATCATTATTTATTCCTTTATTTGTCCAGGGTAAACGCAAACAGCAGAAAGCTGGATTTCATTAGGGCCCTGCATTAACATATACTAATTAATATGAATTTTATGAATTGAAGACTTAAAAAACTTTAAAAACAATGAAATGATATGCAAAAAGTGATATAAAAAGAGTGATAAAAGAAAAGATAAAATCAAACCAGCAACAAAAAACAAATGAAAAATATTTGTTAAAAAAGCATTACTAAAATAGAAATATTGCCCAAAAAAAGGACATAAAAACACAAAAGTGTACAAACAAACAGGGACATATTGATAGATATGAGTGCGGAAAAATGTGGGAAGTTGTTTTTAGAAAGTATATAGAAACAAACATTTATCCCTGACAAATTTAAGAAGTTTAAGAATATTTTATAAATTTAAGAATATTTCATGGCTCTATGGCGCTGCTAAAAGCATATATACATTTGCACATGCATCTAAGCATAGACACCTACAGGTGTAACTTCAAATTCTGTATTTAAAGTGTAAGCACAGAATTTCTGTGCTAGCACTGTGTGTCCCGAGTGATGATTGTAAGCACGGAATTCCGCATTCAGTAGAGCCATGAAAGTTTGCCCTCTTAAAATGAGTTACTGAAGTCCTTAAACTATACATACAAGTCAGTTGATCATATTAAAAGGATAACTCAATGTAGGGGTTGTTTTATGTTGGCATTCGTGTTAATCACCTTAAGGCCCCCCCAAAAAGTCTCTGGTTTCTGGTATGCGCTCGCGTCTCCGTAGCCATGCGCGTTGGCAAAATGACAAAGTTTTTTTTCCAATGAAAGATGATGTCTCAAAACCGCCAAACTCACTAGTTTGACTGGAATCATGCTGCTGCACAATTTTAACGTGTTTTTGGATGGGGTTATGATCGAGAATAAGCTTTATGTGGCCTCTCTGGACTCCCATATATTTGCACTAAGTTTAGTCAGGCACCATTTGCAGTCATCAGTCGACATTTGAGGCAAAAACAATCAGGTAAAAAAAAAAAAAAACGCGTCGCCGCACCACTTTTTGGGCAAGCTCCATACCAGAAACCAGAGACTTTTTTGGGGGGTCCTTAACTCATCACACCCCAGTTTGTCAAACATATGGGGACTGTGTGTATTCTCAGTGATTGATAATTGAATCATTTTGATAATCCGGAAGGGGGAAACTCATCCACGTTTTATCAGCCTTGGATCACCAAGTATTCCTAACCACAAACCGGGAGGATTTAACTCTAAAAACCAGGTTAACTTTGGTTTGATAAAAACTGGTTAAATCTTAGTGGAATCACTTACAGAAGCAAATAGAATGAACAACGGACAGGTAAGCTCTGGGATAAAAGGTGTGTTTTGGTTTTATATGTAACAAAGATTCTATTTCAGGTGTTGTAATGGGCATGAGTGTCTGCATTGTCAGATAAAAAGGCACAAAGTTTCTTATTTTGTTGGCACTTTTCAAACTTAAGTTCTGGTTGATTCTCCGATCAACATCTGTGTCAATTAATCACTTTTATCAACAAAATTAGATCGAAAGAGAAAATACAGAACCGGTAATTGAGAAAAAGGAGGTACAGGTAGTGCCGGAACTTCGCAAAGTAAGTCTTGAAGGGTAATGAATATTCTGGTTAATCATTTTTTTGTCTCTTGAAGTGTGGCGGGCTCTTTTTGCTAACAAATTTTAACCATGCATGTGTGATAAAACAGCCCAATATCTGTAGTTTAGTATGTTAATGAAATGCTCATTTTTTTATCATTTTTATGTATGTAGGAAAATGGCGATTTGACTTCATTTGAAAATGGCATAAGGCTGAATTTTGCAGGACTGCAAATTTCTGTTTGTTTTTTTTTGCTGAAAAGGACATGAAGTCAGAAGAGAAAGTAAAAACACAAACAAACAAACAGCCCAACCAACCAACAAACAGACAAACAGATAGAACCAAAATCCCACAGCAGATAAAGCATACGTTTTATTATTTCTTAGTATTTCAAATGTCATTCTAAGTAAAAATAGAATTAATAGTGAATTTTTGACTTTGTTAACAGGCATGCAACTTTTCCTCGGATCCGCTGATTTCCTCGTTTTTTTTAAACTTCTCATGAATGCCATTACAAATTGAAAAACCCTGTACAAAGTCTTGTGTGGTTTGGAATTTCCTCGTTTTTTCCCAAATTCCCAGTTGCATGCCTGTGTTTAAAACTGAAAGCAGTGTGCTAAACTGACAGTGCCCAAGCTTGCAAATTACACGAACTACGTTTGTAAAATTCCTTATATTCAATGAAGAAAGGATGAACTTGACCTCCCCAATCTTTTGGCAAATTGAAATTGCAAATTCACTTACGCATTGTGGCTTTCAGCGAAGAATGCAAAGCATAAACACAATGTGCAGCAATGAATCGCAAAGTGCATGCACGATTTGCCATCTTGTGCTCGCAATTCACGGGCTTTTGTTGCTTGAGCGCCATCATGTTTTTTAATTAAAACAAATTGAATTCTAGATGTCAGCAAACGGACTCAAGGCCACGAATATTGAAGCTAGGAAGTACAGCATTTATATGCTGGGCAGTTTTTGATGCTCAGAAAATGACTGGAGGCAACGCACAGCCAGTGTGGGAAAGTTGCCTTTTTGTGAATTGCAATCTTTGCTATTTATAATGATAACATTTATATTCGCTCAAATTCATGACACAAAATACAAAACACAGATAAGTAAATAAACACATCAACATAAAAAAGAAAGACATACAAAGATTACAAAGGGAAAAAAAATTAGTCAATTGACAATTTGACACAGATGTCATTATGTATTTCAGAGACATCAGTGTCATTAAAAACTCCACGTTGAATAACGCTGTCTCTATCATCAGTCATGTCCCCATCAAGTACAGAAACATTTGATTTCACACTTGGAGGTACACAATCAAACCATGTATTTCGGGAATCATTCAGTTCAATCAATTTGTTACAAAAAAAACGAATTGGATTGCATAATGCCTTATTGGCTACAGACTTCAACAAAGAGGTTCCAGATTTTAAAATTGCATTACTAAAATTAAAACACGTACTCTGGAGACTGATATCCAGAGGAGAACTAGCTGTTAGAGATCAAGGCAACAATGTCACAATGTGTTATAGGTTGTCACAGCCAGATAATAAGTGCATAAAGCGGTAGGCAAACTGGAGGTTTAGCATCGATCTGTATTGGGTATTGTTTGTGTGTGGTAGATATCTCAGCATACATGTACACATTTACCTAAATCTCCCATATGTTTTGAAATGTCACCAAAAGCTTTAAAAAAAAATATCAAAATTTGTCATCTGATTGATGAAAATACACTTTGAGGGTTCTCCAGTAAAAGCAATACATGTACATTGTAAATTGATACAGTCAAACAGAACCAGAATCAGAAAGAACCAAAAGTTGAAATGTTTCTCTTCAAGGCACAGGACGCTAAACAAATTATTTTATTTACAAAGATGCATGAAAAACACTCCATAAACAATATATATTCATGCAATTGGAAATGGGCCCCACTGCCCTAAATCATTTGTGCCATTTTCAAATGAAGCCCGTAGTTTGATAACATCTGCATGCCTCCGATGAGAGTACCAGCAACATTAACATTACCATGTAGCTGAACTGACAATCAGTCTACAAATTCTTTTTTAGGAATTTAACATTTAAAAAAGTTGAAATAGTAGAAGGATAACATATCACTCAGGCTAATATATCAAGTATTATAAATAATCATAATGAGAGTGTATGTAGTTTCATTGCTCATATTTAAATTTACAACTGATGCGCATGGTTTGCCATTCTTAGTTTTACAAGGTGTGGAGAATTTTTTTTTTTCCGGTAATTTGTGAATCTTCACTTCACCTTCAACCAACCAATGGCATGCCATTTTTTTCCTTTGCTGTAATTGCGAGGGATCAATATTTATGTTTAGGGAATCGGTTGGTTAGAGACTGAAGGTGCATTCAGCCGGATGCAGGAGTAGATTGCTGCTGCTCCATGCTGCGTGTGGAGCAATGTCACCGACATGTATTTACATTGATGCTTACATTCATTCCAATTACTGCAGCCAACATTGACATGCCCATGTGTTTGTACACACATCCTCAGGTGTGTTAACGACCACCCCTACTTGGCCTTGCACATTGCGGTGCAGCAGCTGATGGGTATGGTTTTGCAAGGTAGCACAGCCATTCAGTGGGGTAGCCAAGGGGAGCATGCCCCCCCCCCCCAAAAAAAATCCGAAATTTGCCTATTACCAAGGAAGTTTTTTTTAAACTTTTTTTATGAAATGAATATTTTTCCCTTAACCGTCTGAAATTTAAAATAAATTGCTAAGCAAAAAGAGCGCCCTCTAGCATCAAAATAGGTTCAGCCCCTCCCCCCCCCCCTCAAATTTGCAGCGCTTGCGGTGACCGGCGGCCTGGAAATTTGGGGGAAATGTTGTTGGGTCCGCCCTGGTGCTGCCTCATATTATACTGGTGTGAAAGCTATGCACTGCAATTAAAGTTATATTGCACATGATCATGTTTGAAATCAGAACGTCCACAGTGCACTTCGCCTGCCAATGAAATGTCATCATGCATGCACGATTTCATTTTAAATAAGATACATACATGTACATATGTATGCATGAAACTGGTGTGCATATCATTCTGTGATATCAACGTATTGTATTACATTTCCAAAGATAACACTGAAATATGTTTTATCTATTATTTACTGCTGCGATTCAAGGAATTCTCGGATTCGGAGGAGGAAGAAGAGGTACCGATCTTAGGGCTGTTTGTGTGCTACAGCTCTTTCCTTGTGCAAATCTCATATCATTTGGTGGACCACATTAGAAAATCACTGTGATGTGCAAATTTGAAATGAACCATGGTCCAGTTTTTATCTGGTTACAATTCAAACACTTTTTAATCTTGTTTTTTTATTTCATGACATTCTGATTTTTTTTTTTTGAATTTTGGAAATTTTAACTATTGGTTTGTACATAGCTGATCTGAGAAAATTTGACAAAAATGTTTTTATTTGTTCAAGCTCTGTCATATAAAATGACATTAAAAGCTGATATGATGGTTTTAAACCTTGCATAGATAAAACCAAATTTAGGGGAGAACTCGTATATTGGAGATACATTTGCCACGGTACATCCACATATGCTGATTTTTAGCTGTCCCCAAATTGTGCAAAGTAGAAACTAGCATGAATGAAGAGCAAATTACGCAACTCATGAAATATTCATGTTGGATATAATGTGTGCTCCATAAAAGCAAACTGAGCAATCACCCAGAAACCCATGCCTGGCAGTTTTCCAATACCGTTGACAAGACTGATGAATTCAGTTTCAATACTGCAAGCCTTTTTTTTTTAGACGTTGGTAAAATTGGAATTTCGTGGAATCAAATTTAATCAATGTTCACGTTTGTTAATGGTTCACCGAGGGATATGAGATTTTTAGTGGAAAGTCATGCTGCGTGTACATGTAATTATTGAGTGGCGTGGCCGAAATGTTTCCCTGGCTGTATGTGTGAGTGGCTCTTTGCATGGGTTGAAGCGTTTTCTCCGAACAGGTTGTAAAAAAAGGAATCAATGTCATCTCTCAAGCATGCTGTGGAAAATATCATGTTTGCATGTCATTTCTCTCATTTGAATTTTGCATGTGCATTATTTTATGTGTGTTGTTTTCTCCATAAGCTGTGGTTTGAAAAGTTTCTTTGAAAGAATGAAAAAGGTTTTTGAAAGTTTGTTTTGCATGCAAGTGCTACCAAAAAAAACCCTAGCATCCATCTGCATGCATGATGTAATTTAAAAGCTTGGAAACGAATGCTACGCCCTGGCCTTCCTAAAAATACGAAGCCTGATCCTTAATTACTCTAGGAATGAATGCTGATGTTGTTTATTAAAAAAATGATGCAAAAGCTAACCCGTGGTTAAAAGCATTTGACTGAGAAATAACTTTGCTGTTCATTACATTTTTCATTGGAGTGGCTTTCTGCACAGTTTGCATGCACAATATTATTTCAATTTGGGAGTTTTTTTTTGTTTTTGGGACGTCACAATTACTCTTATCTTTAGATACCCGAGTGAATAATGTTCTTTTTTTCACTGGGAAAGTCTTGACTTCTTTTTTTAGTCAATTCGAGAATGTTTTGAAGCGTTTTTTTTTGGTTTCAAATATTTGCAATCACTCAAATGCTATGTATGATGAGAAAGTAAACATTAATTTTGTTACATGAATCGCATGGCATTATCGATAATGTCTGCATACTGTCTAAGTGCATTTTTAATGAGAATCTAAGGAGAAGAGGGCTTGGCAGTTTACTAATGAAACTCATGTCCTGAGGTCAAACGTAGGGTATGTTGACAGACTGTTACCTGTTGTTATCCGAATTGAATTTTCAGGCAGGAGGTTGGAAAAGTCTGGGGGTGGGGTTTCTTAGGGTGACAAATAACTAAACATTTGGCAAATCCTGGTCATGATCTGATCATTTGGCATAGCGATATATGTTTATTAATAGAAACGTATTATTTTAGAAGTGCATTTTGAAAGTTAGCTGTTAAAGAAATCACTTGATGCATCTATATGTTTCTCTCACCTATTTAACTTTAAAAAAAAAAGGGGGGGGGGGACACAAATTACTGAACATTTTGAAAATCCTGATAAGGATCTGATCATTTGGCATAGCGATATGTGTTTATTAATAGAAATGTATTATTTTAGAAGTGCATTTTGAAAGTTAGCTGTTAAAGAAAGCATTTGATGCATCTATGTTTCTCACACCAGTTTTGCTATAAAAAGGGGGGGGGGGGGAGACAAATATCCTGAACATTTAGCAAATCCTGATAAGGATCTGATTATTTGGCATAGTGATTATGGCTATTAATAGAAATGTATTATTTTAGAAGGGAGTTTTGAAAGTTAGCTGTTTAAGAAAACTTGATGCATCCATGGGCGTCGCCAGGATTTTTTCTAGAGGGGGGCAAAAACATTTTTGCCAAAAAATGCTTGTATTTCTCAACACATTCTCGATTTATCAGTTTTAGAGGGGGGCAGGGACATTTTGCCCCCCCCCCACTCATTAAATTTACACCACTTTGTCTTTGCGCCTCTTTTTCTTCCTTTTTTTTTTCCCTCTTTTTTTTGCTTTTCCAGGGGGGGGGGGGGCAAGTGCCCCCCCTTGCCCCCCCCCCCCTCGCGACGCCCATGGATGCATCTATATGTTTCTCTCGGGGGGGGGGGGGGGGGGGGGGGAATATATCAGAATCATTTCTGATCGAAGCTTTGCAACATGTAAGTGAGGAGTACATCTGTTGATATATCCAGGCATAAAGTGCTTTAGGCTCATTAAAAAAGCCAGACGTCATTAGTTGCTGTTAACTGCATCAACACAATCAGGAAAAACCTATCCAGTTTGTGGACTGTGCTGTTAAGAGCGAAGTTATGAGTCCACTGCTGAGATAAGTTGTCAAAGAAGACATGGCCAATCAAACAAACCGGCTCATACGCTAATGGCATTTACAATGCAATCATAAAAGTATTCTAAACTAAGCGGGCATAAATGTCATGTTAAGTACTTAAAAATTCTATTGTTCACCAAATTTGGTACTCTATCAGCCATTTACGTACATTCACAAATGCTCTTATTTTGTAAGTCATTTTTATATGTTTACTGAAATTCCTGCTACTTGTTTATAGGAAATTACAAAATCATTATATTTCCCATATGGAAACAAACAGGACAGCGAATTGGTCAAGAAAATGAATTTGAAATCGATGACTTCATTCCATTATCAAATTGTTGTTGTATGCCAAACATTTATAAGGTATCTGATGCAACTGTTCATCATAATTGACCGCATCAGAAACAGGTTACCGTCTCACTTGACCCCTGGTCTTGCAATTGATTACTGAATTTCAAATGGAACAGGTCTATTTTGAGTGTTGCCAAGTGGAACAAGTGCAGACAAGTTCGAATAGAGAGGATGGACATGGCCATGGGAAGGAGACTGCTGGTGGGCCCTGTGGGGGCAGCAGGGGGCTACAAATAGTGTTTGACGTTCACAAGGAAAACATTCAACCTTATACAAAGCCGGTGATTGATAGATCACAATATGCACAGTCACCCATAAAGCACCTTCGTGTACATGTACATGGTTAACTATCCTCCATGAAAAAAAAGTGTCAATATAGACATATTTCGGTACATTACGTACAGTTGGAAGAATTTGATCATTTAATCCCTATTGACACCCAATGGCATAACTTTGAAATTAAAACTTGAGGTGGATCTTGAGATCAGAGTGGATATTTGTGCAAAGTTTCAAGTTCATAAAATCTAGCGTTTAGAAGAAACGTCATGGAAATAATCATCTAGGAAAACCTGAAATAGAAGAAAAAAATTGTACAAAATCAGTACTGTGATTGGGTACTTAAGTACACGTAATAACTTAAGAAAAAATAGAAGATGGAATTAATACTTTAAGTGTAATCATGTGAATAAAGCTCATTGAATTAGCTTGCAAGTTTCATTTTTTTTCTGGGAACTGACCGCTTCCAAACACTTTAGATCTGTTAGATTAAGTAGTTCATTAAAGTACTTTTTCATTTAATGACATTTAATTCTCCTGGGGTACTTAGAGGAATCTCTTGAAGCATTTTAATTGAAGGTGAAAGATAAGAATATTCCATCTTTTCAGAAGCGACAGAGTAAATAATACATGGAGCAGAAGAATCTTTTGGATATTTTCACTGCCAAGCGTGGTGCATTGTTCCGATACACATATGTACCACTGGTATTGATTTAGCCAATGCCACTTACTCAATGCCACTTTGTATCATGGTGGCCTTCAACTTTTTTGTATCGTGACTAGCTGATAGAAGATGTAATATCTTTGGATCAATAAGTTGCTCTTCAATGCTTGTCATGCCATGAAGATGTTCACGATCGACCCTGAAAAAGCTTTTTTTTTCACATTCAGCAGGAAAGAGGAACGTGTAGAAACGAAAAAGACGACATTCCTATCTATTCAGATACTTTTAGAAGATTGTGATGCGATGAATTGAAATGGTAGAGTCTTCAAATTGAAATTGCCTGTTCAAACAATTAAGATGCATTGGCACTCGCGATGGCTTTCCATCAATTTTCAATTCCTTGTGTGAGGTTAGATTTGCTTGGCCGTAGCTCTTCAGGACAAGACTAAATGGATGTTACAGAATATTGCTTTTTGTTGTTCAGGATAGTTACAACATATCTAGAAGTAAATTTTTATTAACCCTAACTCCCCAAGGTGTGTAAAAAATCATATGAAAATTTCAGGATTCAGGACTGCTAGGGTTAAAGTGAATTATTTTATCTGTTCTATAACAGTTTTCACAAATGCCTTTCCACTATATCTCAATTTGTTTAACCCTTTCATAATTTATTAATAAAAGTAGTATAGTAAACAGGCTGTACGTTTTTATATACCTAACTCGTTAACAACAAAGTCATTTCACATTAACACTGGGTTAACATATAATTCCATATTTGAAATCGATTTCTTCACCAGGAGTTGCACCACTAAAAAAAATAATCTGTTGTGGTTTTTTATGACTATCGCAATTTGTTGTTCTGCACGTTTTCAGATATTTTAATCTACTTTCTCACAAAGCTTGTTCAATTTAACATGTTAAATGCTGCCTTTATGGTGAACTAATAACAAATATTTTATTTATATGGGTACTACTAAAACTGAGCTAACAATAGTTGGCATTGTACTAATCAGTAATTCAGAAAACAAAATGCAGTTTTGTTTACGGAATAGAGCATTTGAAATAACTAGTGACTTACATGTAAGTGTTGATTTAACCATTTTTTAAAAACTTGTTCGTCACATTTTTGTTTACAAAATTGCCAGAAATCAGACATAAAAGTAATTGTAAGTGATTTTTTTAAAAGTTGCTATAAAGAGGGAAAAAACGAGAAAAAAAAACCCAAAACAGATATTGTATGATATGCACAGAACATGAATATTTGCATGTTTTTGTCATTTAATCACTTATCTCGTGGAGATAATATCTATAAAAATGAAATGCATGACACACTTCCAAGAAAGGATGTTGCATGAGCAGCAATACTTTCCTACTTAAGATTAAACGGACAAATGAACATTTTCACAAGCACTTTCCCGTTTGCTTTAAGTCAGTAATTGGTGTGGTATGATTTGCTTTGATGTTTTTGTAATGCGCTTGTTTTTTGCACCTTGTGCTGCTGTATGGGCTAGAGCAGAAAATACGAAGCATGTAGATTTGTGACAGATGTCATAATTTTGTCTTATCCCATTTGTCCATCTCCCCCTTACCCAACCAACACCCCATCTCCCCCCTTCCTCACTCCACCACCACCACATTTCACTCCATCCTTCCCGCTTCCCCTCCCGATTCACTTCCCACCCTTTAACTCCAATAGCCTGAGCCATTACCACCCTCTGTGGCACAAACGGATATGACTGCTGACTCCGTGTCTATCTACACCGAGGTATAGTCATTTTAGAACCTAGTGTACATAGATTCACAAATGTTTCCAACTGTACATAGATTCACAAATGTGATGCGATCAAGCTAAATTAGTCATTTGTTGGGAATTTTCATTTGGAGATACAGGCCAAAATGGGCCACTTCATCACATCACTTAATCACATCTCTTGGTGTTCCGACTTCCCTAATTTTTGAACTAAAGATGGTATCAGCATGTTGTTTTCACAGCAGTAATGCTGAGATTGTGCCCTTTTCCAATCTTTAATAAAAAAAATTACCGGGGTCGACAAACGACTCATTTAGCTTGATCGCATCACAAATATTAGCTAGCTAGATTCACAAATATTGATGTTTACACATGTATTTTAGCACGTGTAGTTTTTATTTCACATGAAGAAACAAGTGTTGGTTTAACTGTTGTGTCTTAGATATTTAGCATTTTAAATGTGCCTTTAAGAACCAGTTGATGCTGCATTTTGGATGCTTAGTGAGCTGCTAAGTAGAGAAGCAATGACTGAAACTTTTACATGTAATTACCAAAAGATAATATCGCATTTGTAATATATTTATACTGCATATATTTTAGCATAAGTTTGTATTTTGGGTTGAACTTTTTCAACACTTTGGCAGAATTTTAAGCCACAACAGCAAGAAGCTCCCTTGGATTTGGTTACGCATGTAAGTGGGTGAAAGAGTCACTTCGTCATTAGAATCAGTTGAAAAATTAGTTAAGACCTAAACGTTAACCTCGTAATCCCCAATCACACTGATAATAATATTTCATATGATACGCATGTACATATATTTCACTCACTGAATGACTATACTTCATAACCAACTCTATCATATACTGGTTCAATCCACGGAAGGGTTTGACTATTAACAAAGTAATGACATTAAAACCACCCCCATATTGTTTTCACAAAGCCACAAATAATGCTGTATTAAATTTTCATGAATCTTTGTAATGGTCCTATGTCCTCTGGTAACAACTTTATACTTTAACCAGTCAATGAATGATTCAACAATACCAAATAAAGATTCCAAAAGATGCCTAACTAACTTGGCTAGTTAACATTTATGCTAGACTGTTTCCCCTTTAGTAACAGGTTTCAAGTTTGTTTAATATGTAATGCTTACATGCATTGACTATGCAGTTTTGTAACTCGTTCTTACTGGCCATAGGTGTTAGAGTTGACACCACTGAATAACATTAGATACCTCAGTAGATCAGTGTGATGTAATGTGAGAAGGGTAGATGCGTTACATGGAAAAAGCTATTTGTATTCATGATATTCAGAGATATGAGTGTGATGCTGTTAGTGTATCATTGACACCTAATATGTGTCAAGTAGCACGTATGGCGGCAAATGTAATTCTTTGGGACTGTCATATGTTTACACTTGATGTGTTGCCTATCTCTCTATCCTATAGGGATGAGTTTCCTGTGGAAACACCTAGATGTGATACATATTTATAGTTGGACTATTCTTCATGTTTTCTACCCTCTTTGGACCTTTGAACTTTTCTTAGTTTACAGATTTGACTGAACTTCTGTTATCCTTGTTTATCTTTCCTTTTATTTCTCAGCTAATTTCGTTTCTCCCTCGTTTTTCTTTTTTTTCTAGTCATATTGCCTGGATATTTTCTACAGAGACTCTTCCACTTTCTCGTCTTCTACAATTATTTGCAAACTCGATCTTGATTGATTTGCAGTTCTTTACACCCTCTTCTTTTGCAGAGTGAATGAAATGTGTCTTTAGAAGTAACTTTGTCTGTTAGCTTTGTTTGCTTTGGAAATATTTTCTGTTTTTATTCATTCTCTGAAAATTGAACAGCACTCCTTTCAAAAAATGAAGTGGGCAAAATTTGTCATTACACTTGCTAGTTTCCTGACCAGCTGTATTAGTTCAATCATAAAATTTGGTGTACACAATTTGGCCATTTTAGACTACGGAATGATCTGCAAATGAAGATTATTGTCGATTTTGTTTGCAAAGTTTACTACATCACTCTCTTCACATCAGTCAGGACCAATTACATTTTCTATAAGATTCGTAACTATCTCCTTCAGAAATGTATGTGTTTTGCTTCTTTATCTTTTCAAGTCAATATGTATCTGTTTTAATAAAGATTTATCACTACAGGTTAACATGCAAAATGTATTTTGATGGCTGTGAAAACAGAGAAAGGTACAAACTAGCTCGCTGTTAATGACTATCTGAGGTAACGAGTACCTCTTTGGGCTTAATTTGGCATTTTGGTGGCATGCTGAAGTATTTTTGACTTCGCTCATTGTCGTAGGATTCAGCTAGTCAAGGTCCCAGCAGTGTTTCCCGTTCCCAGGCCAAAGCTGCCAAGAGAGCAGCCGAGGCGGAACGGAGAAAACAGGCCGTGGAACGGAAACGAAGAGAACGGGAGGAGGCCAAGAGGAAGCAGCAAGAGGAGGCCGAGAGGCAGGAGCAACTCAAGCGTGACTTTGAGGAGGAGAAGCGGAGAAAAGAAGAGGCTGTCCGGTGAGGAGGGGCTCCGACAGAATAGCAATTAACCCATTTGGCCCCTTAATCACCCAAACCGCCCTACACATATTACTCCCTATACCTCCTGAACCTTTCCCGGCACTGTTTTTATGGATTCATTGGGAAATACATGCAATGTAATACTATGTTCGTAGTACAGGCTTTAAGGGGCAAGGGGCAATTTAATGTGATACCTATGCAGAAAATACTGCTTGCCAGATTGATGCTTAACATTGATCAGCCAAGAACCAGTTAAAACACTGCACATCTCTTTAAATGTTGGCATCTCTTTAAATGTTGGTAACCTCATTTTGCTTTGCAAATAATTTGTGTGATTGGCAACATTGCATGGCAGCTCTGTCAAATTGGCCTCAGGAAAAAAAACAGATTAAGGAAGATGGGATAAGGGAATGGAAAAAAACAAAACCTACTTATTTATACATACATTGATAGTAGCATTACATGTACATGTAGTTAATAAATTGATTGAGTATTTGAGTGTACAGTATCCAGAAGATGCTACTTTTGCAGGATACATTGGCAATAGGAACCATCATTATACTAACAAAAATCAAATTTCAACTTATGACTATTCTCAAGCAAAGTATGTCATATAGCAGGTTGTTCACGAACAGTTCTCTGATTGGCAATTTACATCCATAAAAATGGAGTAAAGGATCCATTGCAGCGGTGAATCCAGCAGCCACTGCGTACACCACCCACACAACTCAACAAAAGCAATCTATAGTGCCCCTTTGCTTTTAATATTACATTTGGGGAAGAACATTTTTAGACCCACTTTTTAGGGGAACAAAAATATGTTTTGCCCCCCCACCCAAATTGTGTTCTGGATTTGGCCTTGATCCAGTGTGTAGAATTTGGGTAAAGCGCCATTAGGTGAAGCAAGCAAAATGATATGGGGTGCTGTGGTCCAAAGGTTAGGGTGTTCAACTCGTGTGCTGTGGTACATGGGTTCAAATCCTGACCGAGGGAACATGGTGCTTGTGCTCTTGAGCAAGGCACTTTACCATTATTGCTTCGTCCTTCGGATGGTATGTAAGCCGTAGGTCCCGTGTGTTGTGTAATGCATGTTAAAGAACCCAGTTACACTTATCGCTAAGAGAAGGGGTTTGCCCTGGTGTTTCTGGCAGTGGCTGCAATATGCGCCGCAGCACCTTGTAAATTATTATAATGGTGCTACATAATGGGTCTCATAAATCTCATTAACCTGAGGGCCTCCTTGGAAAGAAGTGCCTTGCACTGATCAGAGTTTACCCTCATTAAAGTTGACGTTAAAAAAAAAAAAAAAATCAGGTTAACATAATCCGTGTTCTCTCTGGTTAAATTTAATCCTAAACAAAGTTTGGCAATTGATTATTGTCCCCGAGGGGCATCAAATGAGATGTTGCCAGAAATGATCCATTTCTCAAGGCAAACTGAATAGCATGCAAACACTTCAGGTTCTCCTTAACACCACCTCTCTTCTAAGACAGTCACTTTGCAACTTCCCCAAGTGATACTCTCCACTATGCAAAGCCTCAAAGGTCACATCTTGAGTTTTTCTTGTGTCTTTGTGCAGACTGAAAAGAGAGCGGGAAGCACAAGAGCTGGAGAGACGACGTCAGGAAGAGGAAGACAGGAAGAGACAATCAGCAGTCGCCGCCGAGAGGGAGAAAAAGAAGATGGAGGAATACAAACGCAAGATGGAGGAGCTTGCCCGGCAGAAACGATTGGAGGATGACAGAAGGAGAGGTGAGACTATCTACCATGACATTAGTGTGTGTTGTATTCTGTTTCATTATCGCGATTGGTTTCTACAGATTAAGGAAGTACTGAGCCGCCGACTTTGATCAAGTTTGATCAAGAATTCGCCCTTTGCACGCTTCCACAATAAGCATATAGAGCCTCGATCTGGCAACTTTACACAATTAATATAGCCGGTTCAGTGATTCCCGTGTATACACAGCAATCACTGAACCCTGACACGGGAATCACAGAACCGGCTATATTTATTGTGTAAAGTTGCCAGATCGAGGCTCTGCGTGCTTATGGCAGAGCATGCAAAGAGCGAATTGTGGTTGAATATAGCTCGTCTAACTGTCTTACAGTGTTCAGTATGAGGCCTGAGATTTTGTGATGACCACCTGACATTAGGCCAATCAGAGATTGACCTACCTGTACAGGTGTGACATTGAAGAAGCAAGTTATGTCACAATTCAACCACTTATTGACTAGTGGTCCTTGATTGAACTTGCGCAATGCCGACGTCAGGTTGTCAGTTCAGAGTGATTGGCCCTGGTGAGAATTAATTGTAGCAAATGTTGGTGGGTTTGACAAAGCAGGTTCCACCCAAGTGTTATCAATTATCTCCCTCTTTGTTGCACAGACGAGAACTGGAAGAAAGAGAGGGAGGAGGAAGAGAGAAGGAAAGCCGAGGACGCCAAACTAGCCGCCATGGCTGAGGAAGAGCGTCTGGAGTACCAACGCCAGAAACGGGAGGAGGAACTCATCGCCCAGCGCCTTGCCGAAGAAGAGAGGCTCAAGCGAGAACTACTGGCCAAACTGGCCCAAGAGGAAGCAGAGAGGGTAGCCCTGGAACTCGCCAAGAGGCAGAAGGAGATGGAGAGGCGGTTGATGTTCAACAAGGCGCTGCAGTCGGAATCCAACATACTGTCTCACTCCCAGGATATGACTCCGGCTTTCACGTGGTCCTACTATGAGCTCCTGGAGTTTCTTGGGCTTGCTATGCCGGACTTCTTGAAGAAGCATCAGAGCTTTACCGACACAGGTTCGTGATTAATCCGTATCACTCCCAGATCCTTCACAAACCCCCAAGGAGGTTTGGAAGAGTTTGCAGGATTGGGGAAGGTACAGCCCAGCCATTTGATGCTGGTTGAAAGTTGAAGTTCAAAGATCGTGAATATGGATACCTGCACAGCGGTGTATTATGGAGGATTGAAGAAGATACAAGAAAACATGTCCAAGGAGGTAGGGTGTATTAGATGATTTGTCAGATCTTCAGTCAGTATGGATGTATGTCATCCCAACGGGATATGAGGTTGAGGTTATGAAAAGACTTGAGCAGCATTGATCCCCCAAGGGACTGAAAATGTACATAGCAGGAGAATTCCACTTTTATTTTGAGGTACATTGATCTTCTCTCCTTTCTTGTCAAATTTTAGTGTGAATATTGTCAGAGTGAATGAACCTTACAAATTTGCCTATGCTAATTTATAGACACACAATTATGCACATTGTTGAAAGGCACTGTAGTGTTAGCACATGAAACTGAACCAATTTCCTAGTACAGTGGAACGTCGCTGTAACGAACATCGTGGGATCCACAGAAATTGTTCGTAATAGTGATCGTTCGGTATAGCGATTTTCACACATTTTTGGCGCCCTCTTTTGATCATGTGTAGTTGCATTTACAAACCACGCGCGGAGTCGCCAAACTTGTCCATTAATATTTTCAATTCCGTAGCAGAACTTCACCAAGCACGTCCTGGTAGTTACTGAAAGACGACTTTAAACACCAGCGACTATTGAATTATGTAATTACACAGTTTTTAATAATAGCCATTTGTCACTCTTCTGTTGACATTTCCAACAACAATGTTCGGTACGTTTTGTACACAAAAATTGGGAGCCAAGGACGATGTTCGGCATAGCCGAATGTTCGGTATAGCGGTGTTTGGTATAGCGATGTTCCACTGTAATTGTAAGAATCATATATACATGTAGCTCCGTACAAATGACATTCATTGATTCCTTTGGTTCCCTTTAAAAAAGAGTAGTCAGGTTGCAGGAAAACATCTATACAAAACATGTCTGAATCCCAAAACTGCCTAGCAAATACAGCCGTAATTTATTTAAATTAAGAAATCATACTTTGAAATGTGCGCTTGGCAGTGTATGATCGACCTTTGTCGGCTGAAATTCAACCTACAGTCTGTGTTGAATTTAATATAAAAAAAACCTTTCTGAGCAGCGAGTTGATGACTTGTTCTGTGTTTCGTTATGTTTTTCATGCATATAAATTTTTAGTGGTAAAAACACAGGCTAGTGACCTCCATGTGAATACCTTCATGTGAGTAGGTCATGCACGCTCTTTGCCACTTACATTGTATTGTCGTGCCTCACTGGACAGTGAACTTGACTAGGGCGATCAACGGATTCTTGATAAATTTGAGGAAGAAACCAGGTGCAAACATCAAAGTGTGCATATCAATACCTTTTCGTGGTAAACAGTATTTGTAGGGATTGCAAATTTATTCAGACCAACGTGTGTGTAATTTATATGATAATTAGTTGAGTACCTTACCTCAAGCTTAAAACAGCAAGAGTTGCCACAATTTTGTTATCTGGGGACTGTGGTGGCACCTTGCGCAGGTGATACTTCATCAATTTTTATGGGCATTTGTGATCCAGAGACATCAAATACGCATAAGGTGACTTAAGGTTAAATCCATTTTGATCTTACACGTATGTTGGTTGTCTACGGCACTTACTCAGTTTGGCAAGTGCAGTAATTATTCCGTTTGATGTAGCTCGGAATGCAGAGTATCATCAGGTGATGCATTTTTATAGCATTTAGCATCCAGCAAGTAGAATAAATTGTTCACAGTTAATGGCAAAGCATTGCAAATGTGAGTACGACCCGTCTAAACCTTAGTCCATTAATTTTCCACATGAATTCCTGATTAATCTGAGTTCACTGTTGGGGTTGCGTGAAGACGAAAACCTGACAATAATGATATTGAACATGGCATGCACTGGTTCGGGGAATTCGTTTATCTTCATCGAAGTCATTGCCGATGAACACATTTCAAATCCACCACTGCAAGATTCATGCTGTGAATTTTGTGTTTATGTCAATTTGCGTGTAATGACTTTTTAAAGAATTTAATCTCACACTGATTGTATTTTTCAAACCTGATGTACCTAGATAGCAACATAGTCTGGTTTTATTTATGTTCATTATCTCGCAGTGGTTGTAACATCCAAAGAGTAATTTCCATAGATGATTTGCAGCTCTCCTAAATTCAAAAAGGGTGATTTAAAAGTTACCAGGCAGCAAATCACTCCAGCGCTCTCCCCCCGTGGCTAATTCATACAATCCCCTCATAAAAAAATAAGAGATTTCACAGCAGGTGTATGTAAATGATGCAACGATGAACAGGTTCCATAGACAACTCGCATGAGTTGCTTGCCTTGGTTTGGCCTGACTGAATTAGGAAACAGCCAAACTGGATTCATTATTGATGGGATAATAATTGTGAACGGAAACAAGCATTTGTTCCCCCCCCCCCCCTCCGGTACAACATTTCAGGGAAAGCCGGTGTTATTAATTTTGAAGGTCAAGTGAAAAATCATGCACCATTACATGTGTACAGCATCTGTGCAGGTGGTGTGCATGCATGATAAATTGATGCCTGCATTGTCAATTACTGCAAAATTATTTTTGCTTTTTAGAAAATGGTTCGGTTAGATAGGTGGCGCATCACTATAATTACTGCCAGTTAAATGTAATAGTTAGAACTGTGTGAGTGGGAGTATCACATTCATTGTGATGGAGCTTGGGTCTTCAAAAAGACCGCGGGTCTTCAAAAAGCCAACAAATTCTTGACTATTTGAAGCAAATAAATGTCGGTATAAAAAATACTGCTCACTCACCGGACTGCAACAGAAGAAGTCTAGTTGAACATTGAAGAAATCCAGCCAGCATGGTATCAGCTATGCATCCGAATCTTTAGGGACCTAGAGAATTGTGACATTGTGTTCATGTTAGTCAAAACTCACCTTAGTTTAATATGGAGACAATTAACTTGGATCAAAAATTGCCTGCAAAGCTTTCAAATCAATGGAATACATTTACTGATCATTGTCCTGACAATTTGCAACTTGATGTAAATATTTTTGATATATGACGATTTGATGGCGTAAAAAGAACTTTTAGGGAATGCAAAAACACAATTTATTTCATTATTTACCCAAATAAAAAATGAAAGACTCTAACTCTTCCGTCCACTTTATGTTTTCCAGAGTAACATTGTGATTTGTATCATATTCAAAATCTTTTTTACCAAGAAAATAGTTTTTTGAAAATTGGATATGTAAATATTTTATCTTTTGTACCGTGTAATTAATTTATACACACTGGCAGTTCTTTCCTCTATTTTGAATTTTTTATTGTTACTCAGAAAATTGTAGCGAAATGCCACCTTACAAAATTATTATATGAAAAAAAAAGCAAATCAAATTAATGCAATTATATGTTGTAAATATTTTCTCTGTAAAATGCTTTAAGAAGATTAAAAAGTTGCTTTGAATTGGCCTTGGGGAATGTACTGGACAAACAGCATTAAAACGTCAATGCATTGTTAGTTTATCATTATAAAAAGCATTCTCTCTTAAAGCATCAGCCATGCCGTCCATGGGTTTCCCCTTAATTCGATAAAGTGCACCAAATTATGATGTTGCATGTTTGCTTTTATTTCATGCGCATGATGTGTACATAGTTTACCAAAAAAACCTTGTTTCCTGTCTCAAAACAATTTAAATTGCAAGTACATGCTGTGTGTGTCTAATTTAAGCCTCCAAAGCTTTAATTAACCGAATTTTTTTGTAGCAAATGAAATATATGCATTTATTTTACAGTTATTTTGCATTTGTCTCATGAATAAAATTCCATCTTATGAATAACATTTGTCTGTGCATTTTCTCAGAAAGACATACAGTCGACTCTCGTTAGTACAAACTCTGTTAATACAAAATTCTGGTTATAACAGACATAAAGCCTTGGTCCCGACTGTGCATTGATGTGCACAATGAATGGGACTGATGTTCCTCTTAATACAAAATTCTGATATAACAAATAATTTGGCTAGGTCCGAACGAGATTGTTATAACAAGACTCGACTGTATTTACGCAGCGTGAACTTATTCCCCAGAAGGTAACATTTTTGAATCACTTCCATAGTTCCATTCGATTCCACTCGATTTCATGTATGCAATATTGAATCCTCATTTTCAAACCACGGCACAAGTTTGTATAATTTACTGTGCTTCATTGAATATTGAATGATTACTTTTTTACCTTAAAGTGGTGGAAAATACGCGCCGAATAAAGCTTGAGACATGTTCAATGAAAACCAATGTCTCCAGTGTTCATTTAAACAAAATGTTGTCATGTACCATGGTACGAAGCCGGCTCCTCTCCTTTCGGCCCGGTAAGTGTGATTCCATCTTAACTGTGGAAATTCGAAGCGTAAGTTTTGGTAATCGTGTAATTTGGGAGCCCATTCCATAAGAGAACGAAAATACCATTTCATCTTTTGTGACTAATACCTTAACATTTGGCGATGCTACAAGCAGGAAAGGCATACGTGTTTGGAATCATCTATTTTAGTTCGCCAAGATGCCATATAAAATATTAGCCAGCTTAATTTTGTGGAAAGAGGGCAGGGTTTTGATTTATGAGCGGAACTTGTAAAATATAAGTTGGTCCTAACCTACACGACTACCCTACTTTTATCAAGAACTATTGAAAGTGTGAAACCAAAAGTTCCCCAGTTAAGCTAAGGTCAAATGTCATCACGAAACTTCCTAATCCTGGCTCCCTGCTTAAATATATTGCAGTACGTGCGGCTATTGATAACCAGCGATGCAAAGAACCTCTGAAAAAAAATGTCCAAAAGTTGTCTCGAGTAGTCGGCGTGCGTTCGATGGAGTTCAGTCCAAGTATGGTTTATCACAGCTCTCGCTCGAACTTCCTAAAGACAGTAATCCAATTCTATGCCGTCGGCACTTGATGATCATGCGCATTCTGTTTGAAACAGTTTTCCATGAAAAGAGCTTCTTTATAAAACCAAAAGTGAACATGTACGAAAAAAAAAATCAAATAAAAAAATTGTCCAAGTTATTTTTAAAAATATATAAATAAATACATAAAATA